CTGGGGTTTGGCACCTGCCCACGGCTGCTCAGCTGGGGTCATGCGAGGACTCTGCACTGTGCCGGGCAAACACACCCAAGGCAGCTGGCAGCCTGGAGCACCCTTGGGGACCTCCCGTGTTGTGCCACTGGCGTGCCCGTGCCAGCGGTGACCACAGTGGTGGCCAGTGCCTCAGTGCTCCCCGTGAATGCAGGTGCAAGAGTGACCCAGACCCAGACCTGGGGCTCTGGCTGGGGAGCAGGAGGGGGCTGACCCAGGGAGGGCAGAGGATGGGGCCTGCCCATGTGCTGGCACCCACAGCCTGTCCCGGGCATGGCACAGGCACAGTTTGGCAGCAGGTCCCTCGCCCCTGGCGCAGGAGCAGGGCTGGGCCTGCCGGACGCATCCCACAGCCACCGGCACCACCGGCACCACCGGCACCACCGGCACCACCGGCACCACCGGCACCGGGCTGCTGCTGCTCCGCCTTGGCTGTGTCCCAGCTGAGGTCCGAGGGGGGCTCTGCGGCTGCCATTGCCGCAGCAGCGCGGCCTCGCTTGCAGCCCTCCCCTGAGATGCCAGGGCTCTCCTTGGGCTGCGGCAGCGCTGCCGGGATGAAAACTTCCTCCCGGCTTGAGGAAACGTGCGGGGGGTTCCCCTTGAAACTTCCACCTCTGTGTGGGCAGGGAGAGCTCTGCCCGCGCCGGTGCTCGGAGGGTGCCACAGCTGAGGGCAGGGGCAGCGGCTGCTCCCTCGCAGGGTCCCTGGAGCGGGGGAAGGGTCCGGGCCCCTCACAGCCAGCGGGAGCCCCGGGAGCAGGGAGCCGGTGGAGGTGGCTGGGGCGGGGGAGCCGGGGCAGCGCAGCCCCGCGGAGCTGCTGACGGAAAGAGTGAGGAATCCGCAGCTGCTGGCTCCCTGCGCGATGACTACGGTCTGGCTGGGGAAGCAGCAACAGAGCAGGGTTTCCATGGGGATGTACACAGGCCTCTGGGCTCGTCTGCATCCCAAAATACACCCTGGCCTGGGCACAGGGTCCCGCTGCTGCCCTGTGCTCCCTGCCTGCCCGGGCTGGGAAGAGCCAGGGGCCAAGCCAGGCACACGACGTAGAGGTCCACCGGCCACCAAGGCTCTGCCACCTCTGCACCAGTGATGGGATGTGTTACAGCCAGCTGGGGCTGGGGACCTTGTGGCACACTGCAGGGCTTGTGAACCTGCCCAGGGCAGAGGGTGAGGTGAGGGGATGCTGTGGGACCAGAGGGATCCCACAGGCCCCAGGGACACGCATCTGCAGGGCTGCACATCCCGGCTCCCCTTCCAGAACAGGGACCCATCCCCGTCCCCTTCCTGCACCCAGGCAGCTGGCGCCAGCCCTGGGCTGTGCCGCAGAGCCCCAGCTCGTGCTTCCCAGCAGCATTCCATGGAGCAGATGTCTCAGTCCCTGTTCCCAACCATCCCTGTGGGCCTGGCCCGCAGAGGAGTTGCTATGTAAGGAGCAGGTGGTGCCATTTACAGTAAGTCCCCGGCTGCTGCACAGCCCTTTCCTGCATCCGACTGGGAAAGGCGGCGGTGGATGTGGGAACGTCCTGGCGCTGCAGAGCGGGGCAGGAGGAAGTGTGTGAGGGTGTGACATGGGGTCAGGGTGTTCGCAGCGAGCTCCCTGCCTGCCCCTACTGCTGCCGCTGCTGCCGCTCGCTGCCACCATCCTTGGGTGGCCACCAAGTCCTGGCTGGCAGGACAGGAGATGGTGGTGGCCATGCGGGGCCACCTCTGCCCTGCTGCGGGCTGCGGGTCGTGCCTGGCCCCATGGCTGCTCTGTCCCATGCTGCACAGGGATGGTGCCTGCAATGCAGCCGGCCCCGCTCGCACATCCCGCCAGGAAGGACCCAGCGTGGCCCAGGGACAAAAGGGCTCCAAGCAGGAGGGTCCCATTCTGGCGTGGCCACTGCTCCCATGAAGGGAGTGGGCTGCTCCCTCACACCAGGGGCATCTGCGGGTCCCGGGGTGGGGTTTGGGTACTCTGGGTCTGTCCTGCTCCCCAGGGATGGCCCTGGCTGTGTCCAGATGTGCTTTGCCATGTGGCTGGGCACCCACAGCAGACCCTGGCCGAGCCCCCCCGAACACTGCTGCCTGCAGCTATCACAGGCTGCAGTTGTTTCCTATTTGGGGTCTGCAGATGCTGGTACGCACCAGAGCACATTTCCTGCACCTCCTGACCCCACAGGGCTCGGGTTTGCATCCCGGCAGCACTTCCTTCTCATGCCAATAGCAAGCCAGCAGTGTGCTGGGAAGCACTGGTGGCTGCTCAGTGTCTCCCTGGGCAGGCAAGCCTAGGGCAGGACATCCCCTGCTCTGTCCCCCTCAGTGGGCAGCCTCCTGCACCCGTCTGGTGCCCAGCCCCGGGGGACGCAGGGTGGGGGGAGCTGCAGGACCACAGTGCCCCAGCCCCTGTGCTCATGCATCAGGTTCCCATCTGGTTCCCAGCACCCCGCAGTGACAGGGTTTAATCAGCACCGAGGACACGCTCCCCAGGCCGGGAGCCCCCGAGGGGAGCTGGCAGCCCATGACAGGCTCCCTCAGGCGCTCCTAAACCCGGGCCAAGTCCACGGGGCTCTGTGGGGACGCGGGAGGTTCCTGAAACCCGGGGCCCGGATTTGCCGCCGGCCGCTGCGGCAGCGCTGCCGCGAGCCTGGGCTCCTTCCAAGAAACCGGCGGGGCTGGCGGAGCTGCCCGGATTCTCGGCTCAGCAGCGGGCGGCAGCCACGGCCAGAGCCGGAGGGGAGAGGCCCTGAGCGCAGTGGATGGGGCCCTGCTGGGAAGTGCCAAAGGCAGGGGTCGGGGTCTGGCCAGGGGTGTTGGTCAGTGCTGGCACAGGCAGCTCAACCACCCCTCCCCAGGGCTGCTTCCCACATCTGCCCCGCCGTGGGGTGCTGCAGAGCCATCGCTGTGCCGGGGGTGCTGGGTCCAGGGTTCCCCATTCCCTGCAGTGCCTTCTGCTGCCAGGAGCTTCATGCTCCAGGTCCCTCCCCACGTGCTGGGAGCGCCGGGGGAGCGATGCTCGGCACTGGCTGGGGGCTGCTCCCACCCTGCTCCCTGGCACGGGGCCGGGAGTCACCGGTGCTGCCGGGAGCCCTGACGTCGGGGATGTGCCTCGGCAGGGCCTGGCAGGCGGCCACCCGCACGCATGGACATTCCTCACATAGCTCCGGCGGGTGCCCGGGCAGGCCACGGCGCTTCCTGGCAGCCACGGCCCCGTGCAGCAGCACCAAAATAGTCACAGGGCCCGTGCCGTGCCTGCGGCCCGAGAGGGGCCACCAGCATCCTTCTGCCCGGGGTGGTTCCGCAGGGAAGCCTTGTCCCAGCGGCTGGGGTTCCCTGGGCAGGAGCACGGTGCCCAACGCCTGGCACGATGCCCCCAGTGTGGGGCTGGGTGCTGCGGGAGCTGGGCACAGCCTGATCCCTGCTGCAGGGGTCTGCGGGTTGGGGGGGGGCAGGTTCCCTCCCTGGAGTTTCCCTCTTGCCCCCCAAGCACGGGTCTGCAGCCAGGCATTGCTCCCCTCCAGACACACAGAGCTGCGGGGTTATTCTGATGCCTGGTTCACACCCTCACAACCTCTGGGAGTAGGGGGCCAGGAGACACCCGGGGGAAATCCTCTCCCTCCTCCTCATCTCCTTGCTCCGGGGCCAGGCAGGTGGGTTCTGCACAGGGCAGCCCTGATGGCTCTGGGGTGAAGCTGTTAACTGGGGCTGGGGAGGGCAGGACCCTCTCTGCCTTCCTGCTTGCCCCTGCCCTGAGCCTGCTGCACTCACAGCAGGAGCCCCTTTTCTCACCCCCACCGTGCCCTGTTCCTGAAGCCCTTCAAACACCGCCTCCACCTTCCCCTCCCAGACTGGGCTGGGGGCAGCAGGGATGTGCTGCAGAGCCAGCGCTGCACTTGGGGCTGTGCCAGTGGCCAGCCTTGGCCACCAGCTCTGCTCCCCCACGCCCGGGGCCATGGGTCGTGTCCCACAGTCCAGGGACAGTTTGTGGCTGCACCACCTGCCTGGAGCCCGGAGAGGACCCGGCTGCGCGAGGCTGAGCTGTACCTGGGCAGCACTGATGCACCGGGCCTGAGTCACCGCAGGATCACCCTGCACCAGTGGCTCCAGGAAGCCGGTGCTGACGTGGTGTAAACACCATCCCGGCGGCAGCCAGGGCAGAGGCCAGCAGGGAGGTGGGTGACCCTGGGGGGGCCCCAGTGGCCTCAGGGCACAAGGGAGGAAACGAGCCAGATCTGAGGATTTTCATTAAAAAATAGTGCTCTTTATTATAAATTATGGAAACGTTTCCTTTCTGAATATAAATATAAATATGTGCAAAGTTTCATCTGAGTTTTGTTTTGGTTGAATTTTCAAGCATGGTTTTGCTCAGCCCTCGAGGCTGGAGGTGAAGATGGAATCTTTATAAAAGACAGTGATTCACGGTGGCCTGTAAACATCCCTTCGGTTCAAAAAATAAAGTAAAAAAAAGCCAGAAAAACCCAACCACTTCTCCAGGCGGACACAGAAAAGCACTTGTGAGACGATGCACTCCAGGGGCTCCTCCCATGGGAAGCGGTGCCTCTGGAGCAGCCGGGCAGAGGTGGGTGCAGTAACGGTCTGGCAGCAGCGCTGGGGCCTGGGGTGCTCCGTGGGACTCGGCAGCCTCAGGACTCCCCGTTTCCCCTATGTTTTTTCGGCACATCACCAGGACCGTTATCTCACAGCATCACCAACTGATGTGCAGTAACCCATGGGGCAGGGAGAATATTAAGGCTTAGTGCCCTGGAAAATGGCAAAGAGGGGAAAAAAGGCAGCGACCTCCAAGTCTGGGGCCTGGTGTGAAAGGAGCTTCCACTCACGAGGAGGCAGCAGGAGGTAAAGTACAGTATGGGCAAAAACCACTTTCCCCTTAAAACTGAGGAAAAGCGATGAGGCACTCGCAGGATCCAGTGCGTTCCCTGCTCTGGTGGCAGAGGGGAGCTCTCGCCAGGACACCCCAAGGGGGACGTGGCTGCTGGGGCGCCTGTCCCTCCATGCCGCAGGTGCCGTGCTGGCTGCCCAAGTCCGTGGGGGCTTTGCCGACGGAGTCAGCCTCCACACTGGGCGCACTGTAACATCCACACTCTGACCGGAGCCATCTCCTTCCCCACGGAGAGAGAGGGGGTGTCGCACTTCCTCGGGGGGGGGTGCGTGTGTGTCCCCCAGCACCAAGGCTCACCCCAGTCCCTCCTTTCCTCCCCAGAGGGAGAGGCTCGCCGTGTCCCATGAGGCGTTGTGCCTGTCCTTCGCTCTTGTGCTTGTAGCGTGTGACCTCGCTCCACCGGCCCCTTAGAGAGGGGCATCGTACTGGTCCAGGAACTCCTTGATGGGAGCCGGCAGCTGAGTCATCTTCTCGTAGGAGTCCAGGTGCCCGTTGACAGTCTTGCGGCAGAGGTGCTGGAGGGTGGAGACGCTGGAGGAGAGCGGGCGGCTCAGCACCAGAGGGATCTTCTCGCCGCCTGAGTAGATGTAATAGGTGCGCTTGGGGTGCAGGGCCCCCCCTGGCTGCTCGGGCACGGGCGGCATGTAGTGATGCACCAGCTTGAGCACGCAGTCGAAGCGGGGCATGGGCTGGCTGCTGCGGGGGTCGCTCTGCAAGGAGAAACTGCCGCCCTCGCACTGGATGCGCAGGTTCTTGGTGCCCGACTCTGTCTTGACGCTGAGGGTGAAGAAGTGCCTCTGGTCCGAGCTGTCCCTGATGAGGAAGGTGCCGGCAGGCTCAGTGCTCAGCAGCAGGTTGGCCTCGCCTCCCGTCACCGTGCTCCAGTAGAAGCCACTCTCCTGCAGCTTGCGAACGGCGTTCACCACCAGCTGGTACTCGCTCTTGGAGCTGAATGTCTTGAGGCGCAGGCTGGTGTCGAGGGGGCGGCTCATCCCGGCGGCGGGGAACTTGCTGTGGGTGACCATGGCGCAGGGAGCCAGCTTTGCGTGCTCGGGGTGCTGCTGGCGGGAGCAGCCGCTGCTACACCATCACCTGCAGCAGAGACAGCGCTGAGCCTCGGCACCCCCGGACCCCCGCTCCCTTCGCGGCAGCGCCGGGCTCCGGTATTCCCCTTCCCCGCAGGGCACCGGCATCGCCTCGCCGGGGAGCACCGCTTCTGCCGACCCCCGTCTACCTCGCTCCCAGGGACGCACCGGCACCTCTGGACCCTCTCTGTCGCCCTCCCGGGGCACCGGTATCCCCGGCTATCACCCTCCCAGGCGGCACCCGGATCCCCATCCTCCGGCTACTGCCCTCCCAGGGCATGCCCGGTTCCCCCGCTCCCGGGGTCACCGCGCCACCGGTCCTCGGCTATCGCCTTCCCGGGGCACCAGTACCCCCGGCTAACACCCGCGCCAGGGTCACTGCACCCCAAGTCCTCCGCTCCCACCCTCCCGGGGCACCGGCATTCCCGGCTATCCCGCTCTCTGGGGAGCACCGACATCACCAGTTCCCGGCTGTCGCCCCTGACGGGGGGGCACCGGCATTCCCGGTACGGGGCTATCCCTCCCCGCAGGACACACCCGCCCCGCGTCCCCCTCCCGGTGCTTGTCCCCGTCCCCGTCCCCGTCCCGTCCCTCCCGCCGCGGGCAGCGCTGTACCTGGGGCTCGGGTGCCGGGGCCGGTCTCGGCGGTGGCGGCGGGGCCCGTGTGCGGCAGCAGGCGGCGGCGGAGCTGCCGGGGCCGCCCGGGGAGGCCTCTTATAGCGGGCGCAGAGCCCGCCCTCGGGTTCCTGGAACTGCGCGGCTTCTTGTAACGCTCCCCGGCGCCCTCCCGCCGCCCCGCCCGGCCCGGCCCGCCTCGGCGCGCCGCCAGCCACCGCCGGCCCATTCCGGGCAGCGAGGCCGCCCCCTCCCGCTCTCCTCCACGCTCTTTCCTTCTAAGAAGAGTCCTGGCCGCGGCCCCCCCGCGCTCCGCGCCCCTCTCCCGTGGCCGGCCGGGACGGGCTGCCCCGAGCCCTGGACCCCCCAGGGCAGGGCAGCTGCAGCTGGGGCCCGGGGTTGCCGGGGCCCAGGGAGGGCACCGCAAAGCCACCCCCGCATCTTTGGGGGCACCCCCATTTGGCACCCGATCAGGCAGTGATGGTTTGGACCCGGTTGACGGGTTGCACCGGAGCCGGCATCAGCACGTTGCTGGCCTTGGTGTGAAGGTGCCAGGCTGCTGCCAGCACCGCTGCGCTTCCTAGGGGAGCACTGAGAAATAACCCCCCCCCCCCTCGACTGACACAAGGGGACAATAAGGGGCAAATCCTCCCCCGACGCCGTGCCAGGGGCTCCCAGGAGACGGCCACCGGCCTGAAGACTTGCTCCCGGGCAGCCGTGGCCCACGAGGGCTGTGGGATAGTGGAGGTAGCCCCAGTGGTGCCTGTGGCCGGCAGCTGGGGACGGTGCTGGCTCCGGGAGCCCTGGGGTGCTCCGTGCGGCCGGTGCTTTGGCACCCGCCGCGGCAGAGGACAGGAGCCCAGGCGCTCATCCGCGGGGGCCGAGCAGCCACGGCCCTCCCGAACCTTGCCCGGTGCCGCGGCGCAGCGGGCTCTGTCCCAAAGGGATTTCCGCACCCCGGGCCCGGGCCTGGCAGGGCAGCAGCGAGGGGTACCGGGGGCACCAGGGCCCCCAGCCCCACCTGGTTTCGCTGCATTTTCGTTTGGCGGTTGTCAGTGTGGGCCCGGGAAACAACCCCGGCTTTGTCCGCGGGTTCCTTTTACAGAGTTTAATTTGCCCTGGAGGAGCCGGCGCTGCCAGTCAGGGATAAACACCAGCCGCGCACTTCTGGGAAGCGAGGCTGCGGTGAACCAGCGGGGCCGGGACGCGGACGAGCTCTGGAGCTCTGCCTGCGGCCGCGGGGCGCGAGTGCAGGGACGGGCGGGAGGCTCCGGCCGGGGCGCCGGCTCCTGGCTCCCCGCAGCAGGGCTGCGAGCGGGACCGCGGGGCTCCGCCGGGCACGGACCCGCGCGGTGCGGGGACCCGAGGGGACCCGGCCCAGGCGAGGGGCTCGGCCGCGGGAAGGAGTCGCGTGGCCGCGGGTGACTGTGGGTGAGCGGAGGGGCTGACACTGCCGCGACAGCGGTCACGGCTGGCGCAGGGCTCGGGACGCGCCTTGCGAGGGCAGGGAGGGGCCGGACAGCGAGCCCCGCCCGGGCCTTGCCCGGTATCCCCGGCTGCGGCCCCTCCCGCCGCTCCGGGGCCTGCGCTGAACGGCGGCAAGGGGGACCGGCGGGGGGGTTGAAGCGGCAGCGGGCGGCGGTAGCCCCGGCCGGAAGCGGAAGCGCGAGACCGCACGTCGCCATAGGAGCGGCCGGAAGCGGAAGTGTCGCGGGGCTGATGGCGGCGGCGGCGGGGGGTGCGGCGCTGTGGCGGCGGTTCTCGGCCTGGCTGCCGCGGGGCCGCCTGGGTCTGGCTGCGCTGCTCGGCCGCCTCTCGGATCGCCTGTCCCGCGGCCGCGACCGCCGTGCTCGCAGGTAAGGACCGTGCTGAGCGACCCCGGGCCTCCCCCGGGGCCGGTTCTGCGTTACCCGGGAAGCCCCTGGCGGGAGCGTTGCCCCGCACCCGGCGCTTCTCCTGTCCCGGCCTGGCCGCGGCCCGTTCCGTTCCTGCAGCTGCGTTTTTCGCTCTCCGCTCGATTGCAGCGGCCTCAGTTCCCCCGCGGCTCTCACGAGCCCTGCTCAGCCTCCGCCACGGGACTGCCCGGGTTTGACTGCGCCCGGGTAGGGGTTTGCCCGTGGAAGGCGAGATCCCCCAGCCTGCCCTAAGGGAGAGAGGCGGGATCAGGGCTCGGCCCGGCTGCGCTGCGGCTGAGCCTGAGCGAGAGAGGTGAGGGGAGCCGGAACCGCGCTCCCTGTGCAGCCACCGTTGTGCTGGAGCAGGTGGACTGTAAAACACGCACACGGGGTGCTCTCACCATCATTCCAAACGGATCTCCCCTGAACTGTTTCTCTTCTCCTTCTGTTGCCCACTGCCTTAGTTTTGTGCCTCTTTCTGTGGGGCTCAGCACAGGTCATGCTGAAAGCAAAACGTTAAATACCGAGAGGGGATTGTTTTTCTGTAGGACTACATGCTGTGTTCAGAAGTGATCAAACAAAATGCTTTGGAGTCTTTAGAGCTCAGAAACCAGCCTTTTCACCCAGTCTGCAGGCATCACTTTGCACTATACTGGTAGCAGTGCTGGACGGATGTTATGTGTTTTGTTTGGGTTTTTAAACCCAGTCTGCAGGGGCGGCCTCTTGCATTGCAGCATGTCTTCATGCTGCTGCTCTCTGCTCCTCGCTGCTGTCTCAGCCCATGTCCTGCCAGATGTTCTTGTTAGCCAAGGAAATTCTTTCCAAGCTTCTCTTTCGGTTTCGTCAGTGTTTTTTATGTAGCTCGGTTCCTGGCCTGAGCCCTGGAATGAGACATCTGAGCTCAGACGCGATCTGCAGGTTCCCTGGTGCAGTGACGTCTGTGTGGTGAAAGGACAGCACCGAATCCTGCAGTTTCACTTCACTGTTGGCGCTGCAGATGAGGTTTTGCACGGAAGGAGTGTTTCAGCTCCATCATGAGTCTCAGAACCAAACCCACAACTTTTAAAAATAGAACACATACAAAAAATCCCTCGTTTATATTTAGGGTCAACGGTGACACAGAAAAGATTTGAGGTGGTTCCTTGTAGTTCCGTTTTCTGTTCCCAGTTAACTCAGTGGTGGGGAGTACGTGGGAAGGGCTCCCCCTGCCCCCATTGCTGTTTCTCTGAAAACTGGTTTGGTGAAGTGTGGAATTTTGGTGATTTCTTCATAGTGTTGCAGGGTTCCTGGCTGTGGGGTGTGTTCAGCTGGGAGGATCCTGTGGTGGTTGGGTAGTCATGAGTTCAGTGATGGGTGGGTAGAAGCTGCCTCTTTGGCAGGTGGTTGCTGTGGCATTGTTACTGTTGGCTGCAGCAAAATACTGATTTCTGGGCTAAATATAAAAGCCTCAGGCCTTCAGCACTGAATAAGGTCTGAAATGTCAGTGTTAGATTAAAAGATCAAAGACTGCAGAGGCAGTAAAACTCCTGAGTGCAGAGTTAGTGGGGATCTTGCATGTTAATCTGGAGGCTCAAAACGAACGTGCTGGTGGCACTGATGGGTTGTACCTGCAGTAGCCAGGAAGGGGCTCTCCCTGGAGCTGCTGCTCAGAGCACAGACCACACGTGGCCACTGCGACTCATGGTTTTCATGCTCTCTGCCAGGAAATGGCTTCTTGGAATCGTTTCTGGAGAGTGGCTTCTCAGCCACAGGCTTCTGGAAGGCAAGTGGCCAGGAGATACGAGTGGGATTATAAGGAAAATATTTATGTACTGAAACCAGGCTTTCTTGTATTTTCTTTCTGCTTTGACTCTCTTTTTTGACCTCCTCAATGGAACATTTCCATTGCTTTAGCAGCCTGTTGGTAACTGTACAGCTGGTGGGTGTCGAGTCTGAGCCTGGTCCACACGATCCATTGAAAACCACCATCCTAGGAATTCTTGCAGGGATTGACTCAGATTTCTGGTGTGATGAATAGTCAGTGACAAAGTAGTGGATTTTCCAGAAAACACAACTGCCAGCTGTGGCTTCTGTGTAACGGTGTTCAGAAACCTTGTGAAGATCCAGTGTTTTATCGTGAAGCAAAAGAGTGAAATCATCTTCCTGGAATCTGAGGTCATTTGGGCTTTGGATTGTGGTAAAACCTAAAAGTTCCTCGTGGCAGATTCTGGTAAAGGTCATAATTGAGTCTTTTTGTGGTGTGTGGTGGGGCAGGCACATGGGGATGGGTCACAGGATGGTGGCTGCCTGTTGGCCTGCAGGATCCAGCCTTCCTCTGGGTGAGACCAACAGTGTGGTTCTGTCTCACTCCTGCCAGTAGGATCTGCAGGGCAGAGTGTCTCTAGTTCAGTCCCTTGCTTGTTGATTCCCGCATCTCATGGGAGTTGCTGCTGCTAATTGTGCTGAAATGTGGCTTTGTCATGTGGGCAGCCTCCTGCCAGGGCTTGTTGTGTGACTTGATGAATTTGCATGCACAAAGCCTCCAGAGAAGACAAGATGCCTTTTGCTTCTTTCCCTGTCCCCCCACCCCCGCCAGCATGACTGTTGCCAGTAAGTTGGTTTCTTCCCAAAGTGACTTCAGATGAATCAAATTTGTTCTGAAATTCCTTTTTAAAGAATGAGCTTCCTGCTGTGTCCCTTACAGTTCCTTTGAAGTGTGTGGAAGTCTTGACCCTCTTTTAGTGCTTGTGCAGAGTGCAGGCAGCATCCTTGTACAGGCTGCCCCATGTTCCTCAGTTGTGGTTCTTGGCTTGTACCTGTTGAAACACACTCGATCACCTGGTCCTTCTGGTGCTGTGACTTCATTGCTTTTGCTGGGACTTGTGCCAGACACCTCTCGTGTTAGGATCTTTTTTTTTGGATACATGTGAGGGGTTGAGGCATTTTTTCATTTTGTTGAGGAGCTTTCAGAGTTCAGCTGGGGTTAAGGAAGGGGAATGATGTTCTTGCCTTCCTGTGCTGGCCCTGGTTGCAGCTCGCTCTTTCCCTACGTGCAGGCTAATTGTGGGAAGTGAGGCTCCATGTAAAGACTTTCCTCATCTGTCTTTCCACAGATCATCATGGCTTCTCCTAGCCCCACTGCTCACCCCTTCTGTTCCTGTGATCACAGCCCCACCTTGTTCCCTCTGTCCAGAAGGAGCACACAGGTTCCAGTGGATTGGGAATCTGGTTCCAGAGTTTGGGATCTCCAGCTCACATATCAAGGTGCTTTCATCCCCAGCTGAATTCTATGAACTCTTGAAGGTAGGTTCTAGGTTCCAAGTTGCAGCTCTCCTGTGCCCTGAATCACAGCAGCTTGTGGTCGCAAGACCAAGGATGAACCTTAACTTATGTTCTGCTACTCCCAGGTACAGATAAAATCAGCCAAGCAGCGAGTGGTGATGGCTTCACTCTACCTGGGAACAGGGCTCCTTGAGCAGGAGCTGGTGAGTGTGGAAAGGGTTTAGGAAGGGGAGAAAGTGACTGAAGGGAAGTGTTTGCCTTTGTGACAAGCATCCCGCTCCTGTGGTGCAAGAGCTGGGTGTGAGGAGCAGTTTGTGAGCTTGTAATGTCCTGAAAACTTTGGTACAGGGATTCTCCTCTCCCAGAGAATTTCCTGGGGCTCCTGGCTGCATTTGGGGTGGAGAGGGAGGAATTTGTAAGGGAGGTTGTTTTTGCATGTAGTTTCTGTTTGAGGCCTAGTATAGAGCCATGAAGCTTCCTCACAGGATAACTAGCCCAAGTTTTCCAGCCTGTCAGAAGCTACTGTGAGTGTCCATAGGGGGTTTGTGGAACTGGGATCAGGGGTAAAGGGTTTTGCTGGGCATTCCTCTTGAACACAGAGTTGATGTGTGTAGTGCTGTGTTCTGCCCCCCAGGTGCAGCAGCAGCTGCAGCAGCAGTGCTCTGCATTCAAGACAGGTCAGCTTTGCTTCATGTTGTTTTCCTTTTGCATTTCCTGTTCTTTGCCCTGGAAACACAGGTGTTATTTGTGAGCCCGTTAGGGACAAGCCTGACCTTGGCCGGTTTCTCATGCTAGAATGCAGATTCCACAGCAGGATAAAGGTGGACAAGGGCCTGCCCAGGGCTTTGTGCCTGCCTTTGTCTGGGCTTGTACACAAGATGTGAGTTTGCATGTGACAAACAGCCTTGCAGTTAAGGGATGAAGCTGCCTCTGCACCGTTTGTGAGGCCCTCCAGGGTTTCTCCTGGGTAATGCAAATCCTGTGTTTTGGGAATGATAGTGGGAATTTTTCTGCTAATATTAATTGCTCTTCAGAGGCTCAAGAATGCGCACATGCAAAATCGATGCCCTTTCATGTATTGCTTTAGGCTGACAGAGTAGAGTGCCAGTCTGACAGATGCAGAGTCTAAACTAGCAGTGATTTGCATGAGTGGGAAAGACTCGTAGCAGGGTGTGGAAGCTCTCATGGCCACCAGCCTCCTGGCTCCTGTGTGCTTTCTTTATAAAGCTTTATTTGCTTTCTGTAACCAGAAAAATGTCTCTCTGCAGGTGGATTGCTTAGAAGAAACACTGGAGAAATCCTTCCAAGCAAAGGGATCGTCTGACCTCAGAGTTTCCATTCTTCTGGACTACACCAGAGGATCTCGGGGTAGGTGTTATGAGGCTTTCTTTCTTCAGAGGCTTAGTGTACAGTTAGGCTGTGTAGACTGCTTTTTCAGAGAGAGTTTGTCTTGACCAGTTGAACCTACTTGCTTAAATCATACACCTCTCAAAAGTGGCCTTTTGTGTACCAGAAACTGCTTATGCCCAGAAGATCTTCAAGCTGAGCAGCTTCTCTTCTGAAATAGGTGGTTGGAGCAAGAATGGGTGAACTCTGCTCTGTGAAGCTTGTGCTTTTTTGCTTAGTTCGCTTGTCAGTGCATTTGCCCTTATCCAGCATGCTCTCTTGTATTTTCATTTCTAAAAGAAAGTGGGAATTGTCAGTAGCTGTACACCCTTGTGGTGCCTCTTTCTGGCAAGTGTTACTTCTGCAAGGTGTGGCTTGATCAAGAAACTTGGAAGGTGTCAGACCTGCTCAGTGGTGTTTCCAGGGCCCTTTCTCAGTGCAGGTGCAGGTCTGAGTGTGGGTTTCAGAACTGACATAGTACAAGTGAAAGCGACTGAAAAAGTAATCAAATGGAAAGGAAAGAAAGGGAGACAAGTTGAGGGCCAGCAGATGAACTGGGTGCTCATGCTGTGACCAGCTGTGGTGCCATGAGGTATCCCCTGGCTGATGAGATCCCCTCTGTGAAACTCCCCTTGTCTCCCAGGTCGGAAGAATTCCCGGACAATGCTGATTCCATTGCTACAGCGATTTCCCGAGCAAGTCCGTGTGTCCCTCTTCCACACCCCGAACCTGCGTGGGCTGCTCAGGCTCCTGATTCCAGAGCGCTTTAATGAGACCATTGGACTGCAGCACATCAAGGTCTATCTCTTTGATGATAATGTGATCCTCAGCGGGTGAGTCCTGCCTCTTCAGGCCCTTCCATGCTTCATTTAGCTGAGGTGTTGAGGCAAGGTGTGCATGCTGTCAGTGCTGTCTGAGCTTCATAGCTGCCTCTGGCCGTTCCGTAGTCATTGTAGCAATGCTCTTCTGAGATGGAAGAGCAACTGCAGCTCTGCCACATGAGATTTTCATGTGTAAGAGAGTCTTTCTCAGAAGGGAAAGAGAAAGGTTTCGCAAGATTCAAAAGGAAATGGCCAGTTTGTACTTAAGTTATGTTCAGAGTGAAATCTGGTGGGCCAGGGTGTTCAGGATCACAGGCCTATGCTCACTTCTGGAACTCAACTCTTCTTTTTCTCTCCTAGTGCAAACCTGAGTGATTTGTACTTCACCAATCGCCAGGACCGCTATGTTCTCCTGCAGGACTCTCCTGAGATCGCAGACTTCTTCACGGAGCTGGTGGATGCAATTGGAGACGTGTCCCTGCAATTGCAGCGAGATGATACAGTGCAGATGATGGAGGGGATGGTGCACCCCTACCAGGGTAGGAGGGGATTCTTACCTGGTTGGAGGATACGGTCCAGAGGAGGGGGGTGACAGTTGGAGTTGGTGGATGTTGAACTCCATCCATTGGCAGGTTGCTGGCTCTCTGACCATTGTTAACAGGCTCAAGGGTGTCCCATTTCTATGACACCCATTATTGGAATCAGGTTTGCTCCAGTTTTGAGACTGGGTCTTTTGGGGTGTTCCTAGCACAGTGGCTGTCACCAGCTGACCTGGCAGAGGAGAGAACTGACCCTGTACCTGTCTCATTGCTTGTTTGTAATTCTGCTGCTTATGACCTTAAACAAGAACTTAAATTCCTTGAGAGGTTCTTGCTGGTTTTGATACTAACAGCTGTAAAATGCCAGATGTTCTGGGTGTACATAATGTGAAACTTTCATCTGTTTTTGAGACTTGGGGAGGAAAGTTGTGCAGTCTCTGTGTTAGCTCCTTTTTGTTCTCATGTTGGTGTCCCATCAGTAGCTTTCCCTGCTACATGATAGGTGATACGTGGGCCTGTACCTTCAGGTGTGAAATCCAGGGTCCTGTGGTTTTCCTGCAGGGGACAAGGCGGCTTACTGTGAGATAGCAAATCGGAGGGTCATGGAGGTGATCAACTCTGCCAGGACCCGACAAGAGCTCCTTCATGCAAAGACTTTCCACAGCAGCCACCAGGGCAGCTCCTTGTTATCCCAGAAGGGCTCTCAAGCATCCAGGGATCTGAAACCAGAACCCGACACCTGGATCTATCCCTTAATCCAAATGAAACCTTTTGGGATTCAAATAGATGAGGTGGTCACAGAGACACTGCTGACAGAGGCTGAACGGGACGCCAGGATATACCTCACCACTGGCTACTTCAACCTGACCCAAGCGTACATGGACCTCATCTTGGGCACGAGGGCTGAGTACCGGATCCTCCTGGCCTCACCGGAGGTGAATGGGTTTTTTGGTGCCAAAGGGGTGGCAGGTGCCATCCCTGCTGCCTACGTTTACATTGAACACCAGTTCTACAGTGAGGTCTGCTACCTCCACCAACAGGACAGGGTCCAGCTGCAGGAGTACTCAAGGGCTGGGTGGACTTTCCATGCCAAAGGTAAGATGTCCTTCCCCAGGAGGATTTGTTCAGAGGTGTTTGAGGCTTGTGCATACTTGGGTTGTGCAACTGGTGAGGGGATGGCTGAGTGCTGGGTCTGGACTTGACCTCCAAAATACTCATCCAGGGGTTGAACATCTTGCGTAAACCTGGGAGGTTTGGATCACTCAGGGCACGACCGTGCAAAGTCAGGTCTTGTGTCTGCATTTCTGATTTGAATATAGACCCAGAGATTATCCAGGAACTGTCTCGTGGTGACAGTACTGTCACCACAGGGGGATGAGAGGCTTGATGTGAAAGCATCTGGATGTGTTTATGATCACAGTAACTGTGATGCATTTTCTTGTATATCCCTCCAGTCAGTTTCACCAGTAAGAAGTGGTGACTGTGCTGGGGCCCTCAGGGTGGGATCTGCAGCAGGAGCAGGAAGAGAACTTGCTGGTGCCTCCCCAGGGGTCCTGGGTGCTGTGTTCTCTTGGCAGCAGGTGTTCACAGGGGTGATGCAGGTGTTAAGGAATTTGTACCAGCTTCTGTTCAGGGCACACAGAAAAGTGCAGCACAGTGAATAACTGCACCCATAAGGGGAAGTTGCTGAGAAATGCATGTTGCTTAGCAAATGTAGTTAATAACAAACGAAGGTAATTAATACTGCCAGCAGGATCTGCTGCAACACCTCAGATTCTTTCCTGCTTGATAGATGTGTACAGCCTTCACAAGCTCAGTGCCACCTTGACCAGAGCATGAGTGTTTCCCCCAGCTGGTTGTTGCTGGTTGTGTCTCCAAATTCTCCTTCCAGGAAATGCAGCCCTTGACTCTTATGTTCTCCTACTTTAGACACAGTAGGAGGTATTTGATTGCTCAGTAATAGATTTTAACGACGTGAATAACTTAGGAAGTCTGATGGAAGGGTTATTGGTTTAGAGACTGATGCCTGGGACACTTCATAACTGTCGAGGTTCTCAGGGTTTTCCCACGTGGAGGTGCCCCAGTGGAATTCCTCACAAAATGACTTGGTCTCAGGCTCAGGCAGCCCTTGGCTGAGCTGAGACACCTTTGCCATGTTCTGTTTCTCAGAGTGCCTACAAGCAGAGCTCTGGGCTGTGTCGTGCTGTCACTTCCTGTGATGGTTCAGTGCTCCCCTTGGAGAGCAATTCCTGTAAGCAGTTCCCAGCTTGGCAGTAATTTACGTGAGCCATTCCTCAGCTGTATCGTGCTGAGGAACATCCCCATTGTTTGCAGCACGTCGGATTTGGGCACTGGAGGATGCAGCCCCCGGGCTCTGGCCTGTTCCTTTTCCGAAGTTGTTCTCCTCTGTTTATTTAAGGAGACAAGTGCTCATGAGTGTGGGGATGCCTCTGTGTGCCCTGCCCAGAGCAGTTCAGAAGTGGCAGGGAGAGAAACCTGCTCAGGCTTCCTCTTGACTCAAGCAAACACACAAGTGTTACTCGCTGCCTCTGTGTTGAAACTACAAACCTTCCCAAGGAGCGTTGTGCCCCTCCTGCAGCGAGACCAGTCACTGCTCAGTAAACCCTTATCTCAGTCCAGGCCTGAAGGAGGTGCCTGCCTGGGAAGTCCTGTGTGGTCTGTCTTCCAGGAAGCACATGCTGAAGTGTTCTGTGGCTCACAGGTCCCCCCCCTTGCTGGGCACTGCTGCCTCCAAGTGGGATTTTGTGGTTTGATGTGGATTGAGCTCGGGCATGGGCTGCTTTTCCAAGCTCCCAAAGTGTTTGTGGTAGCTGGTCCCTTCTCGGGCAGCTGTGCCTTCCGGTGAGGTGCTTTGGGCTCTGGCTGTGTATGGTATTCTCTAGAGAGGCAGTTCAGCAGGTCCTGGGCCTGGCAGGAGGGATGTTGGAAGCGTGTGCTGCCTTGCAGGGCTGCAGGGATCAGCGTGTGGCTCCTTTCTCTGACATGCTCTGCCCCTTGGCACGTGTTTGATTCATTCTGCAAGAGTCACGCAGTGTGAGTGAAAGAGAGTACAGGGCAGAAGGGGGAAAGGGAGGAAACCGTGGAGATAGATGGAGGGTAGTTGCACATGGAGCCTGGCTCCTGGAAGAGGACATGAGATCTCCAGCAGCACATAGTGCCTGTTGGTACTGCCTTTTTGGGCTTAGACAAGACGCCCCTTTGTCTCCTGTAGGACACCCCTCCAGCTCCTCTTAAAACATTTTGTGTCCTCAGGCACAACAATGAACAGGGTTCTGGCTGTCCTTGGGTTTGTTCAGTGCAGAGCTCTGTGGGAGTGGGAAACACAAACCCCTGCAATGAGAGGGGCTACCTGAAGCCTCCCTGCCCATCCACCCATCTTGTACTGTGTGGCTGTACGTGCTGCTGGGGGTGATGCAGGATCCTTCAGGATTAGATCCCTTCCATGCAAGTGGGGTGACAGTGCCGGGCAGGTGCCTGTTTGCACGAGATAAACCTGTATTACTGCTCATGAATGGTGGCTGGGAAATGGCTCTTCCCCTTTCTGGGAAGGTGAGTCACTGTTTGAGCAGATCCTGCCAGGTGGCCGTAAAGCCAGAGACACCCTGAAGCCTTGGTGCTGCCACCAGACTGCTCCAAAGGAGCGAGGAGCGCGTTCCTGCACTGGGGCAGAGCCTTGTGCTGCCCTGAGCCCAGCACTGGGCACTGTGGCGGTGGCAGTGGGGTGGCAGAACTTGATGGGTCTCACTGCCCCTCAGTTGCTTTGTGGGGTGTCCCAAAGCCCCCCCGTGTCAGCACCAGTCTCTCTGTGCAGGAGCCGCTGGTACCCGTGGTTTGGGCAGTGCCAGCACTGTGCTGGGATGTGTAACTCAAAGTGGCAGCCATGCTGCTGACTGCAACGTGGGGGCTGGGAGGAGGTTACAGGAACCAGCAGTGAATCGGCAGTGTCTTACTCAAGGCATTCTTGGAACTGCTCTGGGGCTGAGTTAGGAAACCTGCTGCTATTTTAAGGACTAGGTGGTTTTTATGCCACAGTTTCTTTGTTGTAGTCTTTGTGTGACTTGCAGTAGGGATAAGCCATCTATCAGGGATGTGCCCAGTGCTGTTCTAAGTGCTTCTGCTGTGCTAAGTGGAGAGCAAACACTCCTTCTGTCCATTTATACCCAGGAATGGCTGTATGGGCTCTCCTGGGCAACAGCCGTGGCTCTGCTGTGGCATCCCTGCCGTGCTGCAGCGGGTGTTGAGAACAGTGTGGTGTTTGCATCTTGTGCTGGAAAAGAGAGTCCTAGGTTGTGTCACACTTGCCTTTGTTGCACTGGTGAATCTGTGTGTGAGCTGCAGTGGTGAGTGGGCTTGGGAGTCCTGCACCCTGGCAAGGGTCTGATTTCCTCTTCAGTGGCTGCGCAGGAAGCGAGTGGGTGCGATAGTTTGCACTTCTCTTACAAGTCTTTATTTCATGTGAATTCACCTGTCAGAACAGGAGATGCCTCTTCATGTGCTGCCGTGTGCAGCCTTGGGAGGGGGTCAGTCACTGGGCGACCGTGCTGCTCTCTGGGCTGGTCCAGACCTGGCCCATGCTCTGTGCCAGTTTTGCTTCAGTGAAACCCAGTTTGTCTCATTTCAGCATTTCTGGGATATGCTGTGGTGCAAAACAATCTCTAACTTGATGATAGTGACTTATTCTGGGTTATTTGGGGCTCCCATGCAGTATAGGTACATTCCTGAGCACGTGTCCCAAGGGTGGCCCTGGGTGTGGTGCAGCCCTCTAAGAGCACCCACGTTTGAACAGCACAGGCTGTGCCAGGGTCCCCCAAGGTTCATATGAAGATTTGCAAGATCAGTGCCAGGAAGTTCCTGTTGTGTCCTGATCTTTTATGGTGACTGCCATCTAATGTGCTTGGCTTATTCTAAGCACATGTGTGAAGCTGCCCCCATCACATCCTTTGTCTGCCACGCTTCCTTTCCTCTCCTGTTTTCCCTGCAGGCCTCTGGCTGTACCTGGCAGGAAGTGATCTTCCCTGCCTCACCCTCATTGGCTCTCCGAATTTTGGATATCGATCAGTTCATCGTGACTTGGAAGCTCAGGTCGCGATAGTGACGGAGAACAAAGCTCTGCAGCAGCAGCTCCACCAGGTGAGTGGCTCATCCGGGTGGGATGACGGGGATGTCACACAGGGAATGCTGATGACACAGTTGCAATAAAATCCTACAGCTGCAATAGTTGTAAACCTCCTTGAGCAGAGGAAATCTCAGGAGCTGTCAGTTAAGTGACTGTTGATGAGATGCCTGCTGCAAGTGCCTGTTTCTGGGAAATGGAGACCATAATGGGAAAGAACATGTGTCCCCAGTGAGCTCGAGCATCAGGAGTGCTCAGGCACTGGATGCTGAGCCATGGTGGGCAGGGAGGATGTGCTTGCCCCTTGCTGCTCACACAGCACGTTCCTGGGCCTAAGCCCCAGTGTTTGGGCACAGCCAAAGTCTCACCGTGCTTGAGGGTATGAGGTCAGGCCCCTGGGATTGCTCATCTTGGACTTGGGGAGGGTTTTGCTTCTTGGGCACGTGGGAACTGCTTTGTAGGAATATGAAAGCCAATCCTTTAGCTTTTGAGTGGCTCTGTGGAGGTGAGCAAAGGCAGGACTTTTAGTGTAGCTTCTGCAAGAAAAGGGTTTCTGGGCTGGTTGGATTGCCCATGAAATCACATGACACAATATAATCTTGAATGATAATATGGCAGTCTTGGCACAAACATTTTTCAGTGGATTAGTGCTCAGCATCCCAGTTTGGTGTGGGGTTTTTTATTTAGTATTATGATTTTTAACTGGGCAGCTTGGAGTGCTCAGCACTTGCTGGTTCTCTAAATCCTGCCTGTCTTGACTCGGAACCTTCCCCTGGAGCTGACTGCCCCAAGTATCTCTCATGTAGAGCTCTGATACAAAACACATTGGTGTGGTTCTTCTGTGTGTGACAGGGATCTCAAAAGTGTTAAGCCTAGCCCTGGCGTAAGCAGGCACAGTTGTCTTCAAGATCAATGGGAATTGCCCTGTTGCATCAGGGCTCTTCCACAGGATGAGTCAGAATCTGTCTAATCAAAAACAATTCTATTACTGGAAGAGTTGCTTGAATATTTCAATTCATGTCTTGCCTCTGCTTGTTTCTAATGGAAGGGAAGAATCAATGAAAATATGACAAAGGAATTTTCTCAGGCAGTGCTGCAGTGATCTCATTGAAAGGGCTTTAAACCATTCCCATTTGCTGGAAGCTGATTTTGAGGTTGGCTGTTTGTTTACTGTACTGGGATCTTTATTTAGAAGACTTAATGCATTCCTGGGGTGCTGCCATGAAGTCACTTTGTCCGTGTAACATCCAGTTCCACTGGAAAGTGCTGCTTGAGCTCTCGGCTTGGGTGTCTCTGGGTGCTCCCTCAATGAACTGGTCTCTTCCTGTGATCAGACAACCTCACTGCATCGGCTGACCACGGGGCACGACCTGGGAGCAGGACTGGCTGGAGCTCTTGGAGCACTTGGGGATTCTGAAGTCAGACTGATTTGGCACACACGTGTCTTCCTTCTGTTGTTGGGTCATCTTTTTGGTATTACTCTCCAGTGCTTGGGTCCTGCTTCCCTATTCCACCCTGAGTTTATACCCAGCACAGAGCATGTTCTGCTGGTTGTGACAGCTTAGCTAATGAGAAACAGATTATGAACAGATTTACAGGCTGCTCTTTGTTTGCCTGCACATCTCAGCCTGTCTGCTTTTGATAAGAAAACTGCTTCTACCTTAGATCAAAGAGCTGCTCTCACGTGTGATGTGAGTGTGTATTATCATGGTGACAGTTCATTTCCTCCAGCAGCACTGTGAACACATGGGAGAAGCCAAAGTGTTTTTGGTAATTCAGTTGAAATCACTTCTGCACCTTCGGTTGAAACATGGTGTTTGGGCTGTGTGTAGAAAGTTGTGAAACCATCTCTCAAGGCTGTGGGCAGGTTTCCTCTCCTGGCAATTGCAGCGAGGGACTCAGGAGCTTTCTGAAACAGCAGCTCAGCTCTCCTGCAGCCGTGGGGCACAGCAAGGCAAACCCTCCTGCCTTTGCTCTTTGTGGAGTTCAGATTGCTAATTCTTGAGGTTTGATTACTGAGTGCACTAAGAGTTACTGGGGGGGTGCTGTGGCAGCACCTATGAAGGCAGATCCTGTGCTGGCCCCTCTGTGGTGTAGTTGTGCTGCATGGAATGAATGAGGCTCTTTATGTGCAGGCTTGAGGAGAAATGATACATCTTCTTGGCAGGGTCCATGGCCAGTTTTATCTGAGTATTCACTTTTCCTCCTAAAGGCCATTACATGATTTAACACTTAGGATTCACTGGGATGATGTTTATTTCCCTGTACAGGAGCAGGAGCAGCTTTACCTCTGCTCAGGTGTAGTCTCATCATCAACATTTGAGCAGCCAAATCGTTATGTGAAGCTGTGGGTGAAGCTGGTAACACCTCTGATCAAGAATTTCTTTTGAAAGAAGAAAAGTTGCTGCCTTGGGTGAGTTTTCTGCCATTCTTACAGGGAATTTATATTGCACTGACTGCAGTTAGGAAGTACACGTGATGGAAACATGGATGATGTGAGGAAAAACCTGGCATCTTTTCTGAGGTACTTGCCTCTGACTAGAATCATTGTGCAAGGTCTCTGTCAGGTTTCATCTAGAATTTCTGGAAGGGTCAGTGAAATAGAAGCCTACAAGGGTATTTCCCATGCATAGGAATAAAACTTCCAGTTCTGAAATGTCCCTTTCAGGGTTCTGTGGAGAGGAATTGTGTTCACTAGAAAACAGTGTTGAAATATTTAAAATGCATTATCACCTTTTCATCTGATCCCTGCTTTGTTTGCCCCTGTAGATGTTGGTTAAGAACAGGGGCAGTTGTTTTACCTTCTCTGTTCCATACAGTGCCCTGGATGTGCCTGGCTGTTCAACCACCCATTAACTGGAGCCCACCTGAGCTTCCTGGAGCTGCTCCTAGATTTCCCCCTGTGCTGTGCACAGGCCATGCAGTTGGCACTTCAGTCTGTGCCCTTGCTGCTGAGTGTCCACACCTCCATTCTATTTACATGCATTTCCCTCCATCTCTGGAGCCCCCATTGATGTAAAGTTACGATGTGTTATGAGTGTCTTTCACGAATTATGGAGGGGCCTGAGAGGAGCCTTGGTGCTAGTGTGAATTTTGGAAGCCTCCCACTTGCTGAGAGTGGGAGGCTGAAACTGTAAACACATCCTGCACAGAAGAGAGGGTGCTGTGAGGAGGAAGGGGATGGGGTAGTTGCTTGCAGTTGTTCTGTTTGGTTTCCTCCAGTGGTCTGGCTCCCGACCAGCACTTTATCAGAAACCACCAATTGAAACCCAGCATCCGCCAGGAGAAACCCCATGTCCTGAAGGAGCAGGGTCACCATGACAGCAGCCCCTGCATGGCTTTATTGATACTTTGCTAAAATACTTTGGTACAATCAACCTTAGCCTAAGTTACACAACACTGAGTTATTTTTGCAAGTAAAAGGATTTGCTGTTTCCCACGGTCATTCCACTTCAGCTCTGTAAGAGCAGAGCCACACCGGCCAGGACCCACTTAGCAGCTTTCTCTTTTGTCTTCAGGTTGAAGGTCCAGACGTAGGTGGGACCTCGTGTTCGTGTCTTATAGACAGGACATTCGTAGATGTCCTTGGTGTCCACGCGGTCCCCAGGGATGGCTCTGATGAACATGACCGGCATCATGGGCGTCAGCTCCTTCAGCCGCGAGTCTGCGATCGTACCCGAGGGGATGTCCCAGCGCGCGCCTGCAATGACACCACATCAGCAGCATCCTGGCTCTGCCCTGCCTCTGACACTGCGGGGCTGCTCTCAAAGCTGCTGCTGGGAGGGGAGGAGCTGCTGTAGCAGCAGTCAGGGAGGGAGCGTGCGTGCAGGTTGCTGCCATGGTTGGGACTAACATGTTCTCATCTCACTGGGACTCGTGAATGCATTTTGCCTTATGCCTGTGGGAGGGCAAATAAATTCTGTCCCCACTTATCCCCTCAATGGGTTTGCATGAACGGTGCATGGCCCAAGGTGGCACTTGGCCATGGTGGGAGCCATGCTAAGCTGTCTGTGAAATGGGCCCCTTTGCTGCTCTGCTGCCACTGCCCTCTCATTCCCCCTTGCTTTTAAGCAGTAATTATTTTAGGTTCTGAGGTTCCTGATTTGTCTTGCTCTCACATCAAATATAATATATTTATTTTAGTAGCCATGTAGCTTCAGCCACCCCAGTCCTCAGGTTTATGACACTCAAATTCCAAACCCCCAGTGTCTGGTTTGTGACCAGGCGGGTGCTGCCCTCAGCTGGTGTGTCCCTGGCTCTGCTGCATACAAAGGGCTGTGCACATGGGAGTAAACCAGTGAGTAGCAACAGCCTGAAGGATTGCTAAGGCTGCACTGGCCTTTCTCCAGGTCTCAGCCACCTAAAGGATGCAGTCTTTTACCTTCCATGAACAATCCATGCACGTAGGAGCCCTCTCGGGGCGGAGCTGTTATCTCCTCACGGTTTTTCTTGGTCACGTCCACTGCGAGGCACATCTTGTCCAGTGGCCACTCGTTTTTCCTGGCCGTGGTCTGCATGACGGCCGTGAGGAAGGACTGGGGGTTGAAGAATCCTGCCAGCCACACCGTTGCAGGCAGCACAAAGTCTGTTGTCCACATTTCCAGTTCCTGGAAAACAGAATTAGCAGAGAGTGAAATGTGTGCTTTGAGGACAGAACAGTGCTGGGAGCAGTGGCAGACGAGGTGATGCTTCACAGGCCCCTACACAAATGTCTGGCATCTTCCAGCCAGGGACACGGGGCTGGGGGTGGGCAGTAGTGAATCGGGGGCAGCCTCCCCTGCAGCAATGGAGCTGAACCCTTCACGTGGGTCGCAGGAGATGCTGCTGTTATCTTTTTAACAAAGCTACATTTAAATAGATGGTTTTATGAATTATTTGTTTTCTTCTGAGGCATATAAAGCTCTGATGGGGTTAATGATGTTCTTTCTTTGGAAATGGTGATATACCCTAATGGTGAACCCTTCTCAAACCTCTGCTCTTGTTCTTGGGTAAGAGGCCCCTGCAGGTAAATCCAATGGCTTAAGTTAATATTGAAAAATAAAGCAGTCAACCACTGTACAGCGATGGAGGTGACCCCTGGTCCTGTGTGGAGTCTGCTTGCCCTCTGAGCTTGAACTTCCCCAGGAAAGGTGCTCACCCTGATGCGCAGGAGCATGTCTGCAAGCCAGGCTCCTAAGTTGAGGAGAGAGGGGTAGGCAGAGCGGGCCCAGGACTCGGGAACGGTGTCGTAGAAGAGCGCATTTGCCAAGTCCTCCATGTCGGCCGTGATCATTAGCTCACCCTTCGGAAGAGACACACGGGGCAGCTTTAGCTGAAGGCAGCAGCTGGGGGACGTGCTGAGTCTGAAATGCAACCCAAACTGGGAATGTTTGGTCTGAGAGAGCGGCTTCCTGGGCTTGGCCTCCTGCGTACCTTGAGCCCCAGGTCCAGCTCCCTCAGCGAGCGCCTGATCTCATGCATCAGGAAGTTCATTCTTTCACATTCCTGGAGGGCGACCACCATGTATGGGGTCTTCTCCTCAGCTTTAGCCATGAGCTCGGCCATGCTGAAGGGCTCTGGCAGCCACTCCATGATCTCGTCGAGGACTGACTTCACCTGGGAAGAGCAGGGGAAATGCTGTCAGTTAGCAGACCATGGCCTTAGTAAGATTTTTCTGTTCTGCTGACATGGTTTTCTGTGGTTTCCCATCTGTTACTAGGACTCTGTTCCTTTACTAACTGCTCTTAGATCCTGAGGAGCTGCAGCTCTTTTGAGAGCCAAGGTTCCTTAAATAAAGCCTCGACAGGAATGCCCTGCTGAGCCAGGACTGCAGCATTGGTTGTGGGCTCTGCAGCAACAGGCGCTGAGCTGGGATCACTCTGTACCACCTTGCACTGGTAAGAAATCAGTTGTTGCCACAGGGCATATTCCCCGTCCATTGTGTGAGTGTGCTCCCCACCTGTGCTCGGGATCGCCATCGCTTCCTGTGGAGTGATGGGGTGCCAGAAGCTCCACTTGCCTTTTCCTCTCGGGAGTTGCCCGCACCACCTCCTGCGTCCGACTCCTTGGGCTGCATCTCCAGGAGGGTGCGGAAGAGCCGGTCGGAGGTGATGGTGAGGAAGCCGATCTCCGCGTTGGGGTGCAGCCCGTACAGGTAGGGGCTCTCGGGGGGCAGGTTCTCATCGATGTACGAGTGGTAGCCCTGCACACGGGGCAACACCAGTGTTACTTTAGCACATCTGGACAAAGGAGTTTGGCTTCAGCCTTGGGAATGCGGCACCGCGGTGCCGTGCTGGGGGCACAGCTCCTGGCGGTTCTTATTCAGGATGGTTTTTCACTCACCTGTTACCTCAGTTTTTCACTTCCCACCCCCAGCCACAGGAATCAGTTCTGCAGCTATTTTGCATGTTTCCACTATGTTTTCCTCTGCCCTCCCCCTTGGTTATAGCATGAGGGAGCTCTTGACTAGTAACCGCTTGCCTGAGCAGTGGGTTTCCACAGCAAAGGGCAGTGCTGATCTTCCTTACCTTGTAATCCAAGCTGGGAGGGACCAGAAACCCTGGAGCCAAGTGCACTTCCCCGTCCAGCATCTCCGTGCGGAGGTACTCGCTGAGGTACGTGAGGCACAGCCGGCGGTCCCAGTCATCCGTGATGTGGCCCCCGTACACGATTTCACCAAAGAGGTACCGGAGATCGTCCCACGGCACCTACAGGGAGCAGCTCACCATCGGGTCCTTGTGGCTGCACACAGGCTGCAGGGCCTCAGAGCTCTTGGAAAGACCTGTCCAGTGTCCAGGGAACTTACGGACCCTGGAGCACAGAGTCTCATTGACCAAGTGAAGGGGGCAAGACAGGGGACCTTGTCTTGGTTGTCTCTTGTGTTCAACCACAGATTTCACCTTGTCCTGGGCCATCCATACTTTGAACCCCATTATCCCATCCTTATTCAGATCAGTGTTGATCATGTCTGTAAGGCCAAGGGAAGGCAGGACTCTGCTGAAAGTGAGACCTCAGTCCTACTCATTGCATCTTCATTCTTGGGGCAGGCTTTGCCTTTTGGGTGGAATGTCATTTAAAAACACCGAAATGAACCCAACCAGCCACTGAGGCCCCAGCCAGAGCGAGCTCTTGTCCACGTCTGGTGCTGAACCCAGCTCAGGAGGACTCTGCGCCTTCTCCACTGACAGTTTAGGGGTGGATGCTTGTCATGGTGTGTTTTGTGCTGGGGTACGGTGTCTTTGTCAGCCTCTTACCTTGGGGTTGGCCTCCAGGTAGTTGAACAGGATGTTAATGGATATGGTCAGGTCCCCGTTGCTGAAGGGGTAAGGTCTGTTCCAGCCCTGGGCACCAAACTTGCGCCGCTCAGCCACCACTGCGTGGAAGTAACAGAGCGCAAACAGGATGCGTTTGAACTCGATTTCTTTGGTGCACATCTCCAAGGTATCCTGCAGTGGAATGAAAGGGAGAGGGGATTGGCAGGTGATTGAATAGCCCTCTAGAGAGGGGGATAAAGGAATCTGATGGTTGTTTATTAAATAAATAAGCACGAAATTACCTTTTAAAGACTTGCTAATTTGTTAATTTTTGCCCTCACTTGTTTATAAGTGACTTAGGCCTACAAACACACACACAGACATAGACCTGCCCCTGCTGACAGTGCAGGCAGCTCGCTCATGGCACCAGGCTGCAGCAGCTTGACACCCAGCCTTGGCAAAGGCACAGGACATCCAGCACCCTCCCTGGATCGGGAGCCTGGGGTCAGCTCTGGTTACTTCCAGATCACACCCCCACAGGTGGGGCTCTGGGCACACAGGAGGATGTGCTGGGGGGGGCCAGCTCCTGTCTCTGCAGCGATGGCCGTGCCGATGCTCAGCCCATGGCACCAGGGCTGGGGTGAGCCCTGTATGGACCTGGCAGCTGCGTGCAGTGGGGGGTACCTGTGTGAAGAGGTCGAGGGCTCGGTGCAGGTTGGCGAACATGCCCGTCGGGGGCTCGTTGATGATCTTGATGGAGTTCTCCAGCAGCCCCTGTGGGATGATGTGGGACTCGAGGGTGGGGGCCGGCTCGGCGCTCAGGAAGAGCCGGTAGTCACTGTGGCTGCCCGTGCTGTACTGCTCCACTCTCTTATCCAGCGTGCGCAGCCACCGGGCCACCAGGTGGATGTTCTGCAACGGAAACTCTCCTGTACCACTCAGACAAGCCTGGACCCAGCAGCTGCATGGGTGAGACCACGGCTGCGCATGATGGCTGATGCCCTGGGACAGGGGAGCAGAGCCTCTGCTGGCACTGCCTGAGCTTCAGCCATCCTGGGGACTCCACTAGTGCCAGTAGGAACACCAGGGATGGGAGAGCCCAGGGACACTCTGAGCTGTAGCTGGCAGCAGCGCTCACCACCCACCTGCAGGATGACCCAGTGCCCCTGCTCAGCTGCCACCTCCAGGGCTCTTTCTGCCACGGGTTCCTGGCCCTGCCCCAGTGACACGTTGTGGATCCTCCCGTTTTCAATGGTGAAGTTCAGTTTTCTGCCTGGGGAGGGGAGGAAACCACCACAGTCTGAGACCCTTTCTTGATGCTATTGGTACCCGGAGGGGCTGTGCTGGCTGCTCATGGCTCATGCTGCAACTGCAGCAGCCACTGACGGCCAGCGCTGGTGAGGAGGGGGCAGGGGCTCACCCAGGGCCTCCACATCTTTCAGGGGGTCAACGCCAGGGGAGAGAATGAAGAAGAGCGGCGTGGAGGGGCTGCTCTCCCTGTACACCTCGGCAAGCTCAACGCTCCTGCCTTCCACGTACTTGCTCCCCATCTTCTCTGCCACAAAGTCCCTACAGAAAAATAAACCCATGATGTGAGTTAGGAGCAAGCATGGTCACGGCGCAGCCGGCGTGGTGATGCTGCGGGGCTCTGGCCAGGGCAGCACCTGATGGCGTAGGTCATCCTGTCTGGCCGCATGCACCGCAGCATGCACAGCTTCTGCAGCGCAGACTTGTTCTTCCACTCCCTGGGGAACTCCTCCTTCTCGGGCACCTCTGACTCCACAAACTTCTTCCATCGCTTTGCTGAGCCCTCAATGTCAGTGTCCAAGCTCCTGAACTCCTCCATTTCTGAGAGCACCTTGAGGTCCCACAGAGAAGGGAGGGATCACTGCTGGGCTCTGCTTGCCCTCGGGGACCCCGGGGACGGAGGGGACCCTCCACTGAGGAGGTGCTGCAGGTGACCCCGCACCCTCGGCACAGCGGGCGACCAACCTTGATGGCGCCCCAGCAGCGGTGCTGCAGGAAGCCCACGGGGGAGGTGGCGCCGGGCCTGGCAGGGAGGCGCAGCAGGAAGTGCAGCTCTGCGGGGTTCACTTCTTTCTTGAGGATGAGGACCTGAAGGGGAGGGCGCAGCTCCGCCACTGCCCCGGCACACACAGCCCTGCGCGGGGGCTGCGCCTCAGGTGTGGTGCTGCTGAGCATCCAGCAGCAGGGCGCAGGTAAGGGAACGCCTGCCTAAGCCCACACAAACGCGTGTACAGGAAGGTACCATGGACAGCCCCGATGCGCGCAGTACCTGGAAGGCAACCTGGGCCAGGAAGATGAGCTTGTCTCTCTCAAAGAGCCCTTGTGCTGTGTGCACATAGACCGAGTAGGTGATCTCGTCCGTCAGGTTCATCACCCGCTCCTTGACGTCATCGCTGGGCGTCGCGCGCTCCATGGCTTTGGCGAAGATCCCATGGAACGCCTGGGGAAGATCCAGCGGGAGCTCAGCGCCTGCACTGCTGGGGCTCCGGAGCCCCCAGCCCAGTCCCACCCTTGCTCCACGCCTGCCTTGAGAGAGAACTGGTAGATGGGGTTGATCTTGTTGAGGTCGCTCAGGATGAAGTAGAGCAGCGACGCTCGCTCTGCCACTGGGCGGTAGTTCTCTCTAGCAACGTTTATTTGTGCTTCGGTGACCTTTGCTTCTTTGACCTGGCCACACACCAGTTACCAGCGGGGTTACCGGCGCCCTGGCACGGGCCCAGGCAGTTCCCAACCTCCGGCTGAGCGGCGGGTGCCCCAGGCTGGGTCTTGCTGCCTCACTGGGGCACCTCACTTGCCTTTTCCTCTATGTCCATGGCCGTGCACTTTGTGGTTTCCAGGTTCTCCACCAGCACCGTGTCCCCCAGGAAGTCCCCCCCGGCAGCAGAGAGCCAGGCGAGCAGCGAGTCCTCCAGCTCCTTCAGCTTGATCTTGAACTCATTCTGGCTCTTGGTGAGGTTTGCCTGCAGCACCGGCACACAGACACACATAGCGGTCAGACACCGACTCACGGTGAAGCAGCACAAGCGCCGCTGGCAGCACCAGGCTCCGTGGGGCAATGCTGGACCCGTGGTGGGCTCTGAGCGGGGCTCGCTCTGCTCTTGGGCAATGGCAGCAAGCTGCTGGAGAGGAGCTCTCAGCTCTCCCTACCGGCGAAGCCCTGCAGCAAGCTCAGCCCCTCTGCTAGCACCCCACCGGCAGCCGGGTCCCTACCTTCAGAGCCTCCAGGTCCGGGTGCTCCTTGGCCACCACAGCAGCCAGCAGCTGCTCCTCCAGTCCCTCCCGCGTCACCAGGAAGTTGATGAGGGTGCACTGAGCCTGCACCTCCGGCTTGTAGTGCGGGTTCAGATCCTTGGTGTGCAGGATCAGGCGGAAGCTCGGGTTATATTCCACTTCCTCGTCTCCTATTCTGATGTACCTGTTTGGTTAATCACACAGACTGATTTCCATGCGCTGGCAGTGACCCACCACAGACAACCCCTCAACCCCAAGCGCTGTTTCTGGCCACGCGAGATACATTTCTGTGGCCAGGAGGAGGTGCAGCAAGGGCAGGAGTGCTGGAGGCTGAAGGAGCAGGAGCTGGAGGGGCCCTGCCACAGCCTCCCCTGGCTTCGGGGCTGGTGCTTCTTGCAGGCTCAGAGTCACAAAACAGGGGAGCCCCTGGGCACCATCCCCGCAGTCCTGGAGAAACCCCTCCCTGCTTGCCAGCCCTTCCTGCCGATGCACAGGGAACATGGTGTAAACCACTGAATGAACTGGGTGCTCAGGCCAGGACAGTCCCAAAGTCACATCAACCACAAATATCCCCGCTAGGAAACACCGCAGAAAACTGGGGGATGTGGGCAGGGGCCAGGGGAATCAGAGAATCAACGGGGTTGGAAAAGACCTTTAAGATCCTCAAGTCAAACATTGCCCAGCAGTGCCAAGGCTACCACTAAACCATGTCACTGGGGGCCTCGTCTATACAGCTTGTGAACACTTGCAGGGACGGTGCCTCCACCCTGCTCTGGGCAGCCTGTTCCCATCCCTGAGGACCCTCTGGGGAAGAAACCGTTCCTAATCTCCAGTCTAGAAGCAGGGAAGGGTCAGGCCCCAGCTGCTTTCTTGCACAGGGGTGCACATCAGCATTTTAGGGCCGCAGTGGCTCCTTGGGGCAAGCAAAACTCCTTGGCCCCAAAGAAGAGGTGCTGACCTGCCCTTCTTGGTGGTGTTCCTGCCCAGCAGATGGTCCAGCACCGGCTCCACCGTCTCACCCAGGCCTTCGATCAGCAGCGTCTGTCCCTCAGAAACCGCCCGCTTGATGATGTCCAGGTAGCTGCAGTGGGACAGGAGAGATGTGGGGTGGGATGGGGGGGATGCGCTGCATGGCGTGAGCTGGGGTGGGCACCCTGCAGTGACTGTGCCCTGTGGGATCCCTGTGGTGACCCCCAGCCCTGGCCCTGCAGGGGTGTCAGTGCCCCATGAGTGCTGCTACCATCGCGTGCCCTGGTCTGATCAGGCTGTGGATGCCCCCAGCATCCTGCATCCCCCCCGGAGCCTGCGCCCATCCTGCAGCACCCAACCCACTTTCTCTGGCCCAGGCGCATGGCCTGCAGCTCCTCCCCGTATTTGTTCCTGATCCACTTGATGCCCTGGAGCTGGGCGTCCACGACGAGGGGCCAGCGCTCGGTGTGGCAGAAGATGGTGGCATTCTCGGCGGACGTGCGGTTGCTCGGCAGCCCCTGGTTGCTCCAGGTAGCCACGTCAGCAGAGTCAGTGAGGAGGCTGAGGGGGTCCAGCCCCGGCGTGATGGGGATGGGCACCTGCGGGAAGGGGCTGTTGGGTGCCTGCAGAGCAGAGGGAGCCCCTCGGTGCCGGCGGGCACGGGGATGGGACCCAGAGCCACGCACCTCCAGCCTGCTGAGGAAAGGGATCCAGTGCTGGTCCAGCAGCTGCCCCCTGTACTTCCTGGTGAAGTAGCCGACGTAGGACACGAAGGCGGAGATGAGCAGCACGTCCCCGCACACCGTGTTCTCCTGCGCCCTGAGCATCTCCACCGACTCAGCCCAGCGCACGTTTTCGGATGCCAGGCCTCTGACAAGTCTGGGGGGGGTCAGAGGATATGGTGGCTGCTGCGGTGCCAGGGGAGACTCAGCCGTGATGCCCCACGGCCCTTGGGATTAACTCCCCTCACTTGGCGATAGGCTGCCCACGGGGAGGCACACGGCTCCTTGGCTGTGTTCCCCCCCCTCCCCAGATTCCTGTCCCTGGTCATGCTCTGGATTCCTCCCTCTGGGGAGGGCACAGGGGGCTTTTATGATTCCATGAGCCCCGTGTCCTGTCGCCAGGGAGCAGCGGGCAGGCACTGCTTGCACGGTACCTGTTTGCCAGCGTGATGACTCTGTTGGTTGCCTCAGCCTCCTGCTCACAGCTGAGCTTTTCAGCCGTAGCTTGCTCGAATTTGGCGGTGAGAGCTGCGAGGTTGGCGTCCAGCTCCTTCAGGAGACAGCACAGCCCCATCACCTCCTGCACCCGGCGCGGGGAGCTGCCGGGGCAGTGCCTCCACCCTTGGGTTTGCCAGGGGAGCAGGCACTTACGGCCACTTTGCTCTTGATGTGAGCGAGCTTCTCCTGCGCCGCCGCCAGCTCGGCGTTGGCGTCCAGCAGCGCCTGCCTCTTGGGCTCCACCTCGCAGTGCACCTCGTAGAAGCGGACGGTGTTGAGGCACCAGGAGCACAGGCCCGCGGCAGCCGCTGACTTGGACATGATGAACTCCGGATCAAAAGTGGGGTCTGACTGGTAGGGCCTGGAGCAGAACACACCAGGCTGCAGCCCCGACCTGCACCCCCGGGCTGCCCACGGTGGGCGGGCAGAGCAGGTGCCTGGATCCCTCCTGGCCCTCGGACCCCACTGAGCTCACTGGGTGCCAGTCTCCCTCCTGGATGCTGTGCCCAGGGCTGGGAGAGGGGCAGGAGCCAGCCACGGACTCACATAAATGCCTTGAGACAGGACTCAGGGATGTGCTCCTTGTCGTACTTCCTTAAGGCATCAAGGAAAGTGTCTACTTTTCCCATCATAACTTTTGCTGCCTTCCAGCTCCTGTCCTTCGGAATGATGCCCTTGGGGGCTGTCAGCACCATCACAGCTGCTGTCACGTTCACCACTGCTTGGGGTGGCGACCCGAAGGACTTCAGCTCTGTCAGGTTGTTCTGGAAAGGGACCATGGGGCCGCTCGGTGTCACCCTGGTGCGGGGACAGCAGCACCAGCCAGGAAACCACTTCCCAGCGCAGGGTCACCCACCTTGTTGAGAGTGTCGAGGGCCTTCTGGGCAGCCAGGAGCGCCGGCTCTGCCTTTGCCAGGTCGGTCTCGCAGGCTTGCTGCTTCTCAGTCACGAGCTGGGGAAACGAGGGGAGGGGATGGGATGGGATGAGAGGCCGGAGCCAACAGAGCTCATGCTGCCCTGCTCCCTGTTGGACCCCGGCGTGGTGGGCACCAGCTCACCTTGTTGATGGCCTGGACCTTCAGCTCCTCTGCATCAGCGATGGCTTTCTTCTTGCTGACCTTCTCTGCCTCAACACCCACCACATGGATCAGTTTATCCGTGTTCTCATTCTTCACCTTCAGCTCTTCCTCCTGCATTGCCAAAGTGGCTTTCAGGGCTTCCACCTGGATAGGGGAGAGGTGGAGCGCATCAGAGGGTTGATCCTGCTGAGCCCTGCCAGCCTCACAGCAGTGGCCTGGTAGAGCTCAGGGACCGCATGGCCAGCATGAGCACCCTGCGGGGATGCGCCTCCTCTCGCCTCCCTGCATCAGACACGCAGTGGATGCGGTGCGTAAGCGATGCTGCGGGCAGGCACCTGGGACGCTGTGCTCTGCAGCTTCCTCAGCCCCTTCTCCAGCCTCTCGATCTTGGCTCTGAGCTCGCCCCTTTTTTTCGCCAGCAGGTTCTGGTAGAGCTGTATCTGCTCCAGGAAGCTCTTTGGCGTGGTGTAATTATAGCGCCTTTCCGCGGCCAGGTACAGCTGGGATACCTCCTTCACACTTATGTGGACGTATGCCATGAACTTGCTGATGGAGACCTTGACCTCGGGCTGCAGCGGGAGCACAGGCAGTGAGATGCTCTGCCAGGAGCACAGTGAGCTGCTGCCCATGGGGACGCCCCGAAGCGTGTCTTTGAGAAACACAGGCGAGCGCAGCACCGATGACACAGGTGCTTGAGCTCAGCTCTGGTTTCCTGCCTCTTGTTCCCTGGGGTTAACTTGGGCTCCCCGGGGGAGAAGTTGCTGTTTCCAGACTGTTTGTGGTGGTGTTTAAGGACAAAAGGGAAACGAGGAACCCTTCATCCCCACCTGCCCAGCGTGGGGCCACCCCTGGGCACGCTGCAGCACGGAGAGCAGCAGAGGGGCAGGTCGTGCCCCAGCACAGGGCCAGCACACGGGGCTGTGCACAGACACGGCGGGCCCTGAGCCAGCGTCCCCAATGGGGCTCACCCCAATGTCCTTTGTCTCCTCCAGGAACCGGCTGCTGACGGACACGAGCGCATCCTCGGGCCACTCGTGGAACCAGTCGATGGCCATGCAGGTCAGCAGGGCAGGGAACCGCCGGGCACGCACCCGCAGGGCCGAGCCCACCGGGGAGAAGCAGAGGATGACCTGGGGCAGAGCAAGGCTGCTGAGAGGAGCATCAGCGGTGCTGAGTGGGGTCTCATAGGGCAGGGGGTGTCAGCAGTGCTCAGTGGGGTCTCATAGGGCAGGGGGTGTCAGCAGTGCTCAGTGGGGTCTCATAGGGCTGGCAGGGGGGTGTCAGCAGTGCTGAGTGGGGTCTCATAGGGCAGGGGGTGTCAGCGGTGCTCAGTGGGGTCTCATAGGGCTGGCAGGAGCACCACTGTGCGCTGCTCATCCCGATCTGCCCCGGGGCTGGGGCTGCAGTGTTGTCTGAGGAGCATTTGAGAGCACTTCACCCAGAGCCACCAGCCTGTCCTGACCCGGTTCTGTGAGCCCTGCCTGCAAACAGGGAGCCCTGAGAGCCCCTCCCAAGCCAGCACCCACCTTCAGCTGACGCCTGGCTTTCTCTATGAATACTTTCCAGCAGTTTTCCCTCGTCTCTTGCAATCCAAGGTATTTCACTTCAGGTTTCATGGCACTGAAAATGTCCTCGAGTTCATCCCCCTGGAAGAGCCCCGGCACCTCCCCAGCCGCCAGGAAGTCATTGATTAGGACCAGGAACGCTTCTTCAGCAACTTGGGAGTCCGTCATCAGGAACACGGTGGGGATGTTCTGCACCGCTGCCTTCATGCACTGGGCGGCGAGGTCCAGCTGGGCAGGGGAGAGAAACCATCACCCCCCTTCAGCGCCTCCGCAGAGCCGGGTGCAGCTCAGCACCCTTGGGCTGCCCTGGGGAGCCAGGATGGTGCCTGTGGGAAGGAGCCCTTGGGAAGGAGCCGGGTGCCGCCGCTCTGCTCACACAGGGCCATCAGCCGAGGCTGCCTGCACCACATCTGCTCTCAAGAGCAGCTCCTGCCTGTCCCTCGGGGCAGACTCCTGGGTGTTCGGAGAGCACCCTTGAGCACACGGTAGGGTGCAGCAAGGAGAGCAGAGCCCTGCACACCCGCCCGGGGGCCTGGGGGGAAGCTGCGCCCACCTTGAGGTCCTGGATGCTGTAGCCTTTCTTCAGCATGGGCTGGAACACTTTCAGGTTGCTCATGTAAGCTGCCAGCCGTGCCAGGCTCTGCTTGCCGCTGCCTCCAACCCCCACCAGCAGCGCGTTGCCCCAGGGAGACGCTAAGATCCGACTAATTCTGCAGATATGGGAGGCTGCGTCTTCAAAGAGCACCTGAGGAGAGCGGGAGGGGGAAGCTCCAGGCTCTGATTCCAGCCAGAAAGCAGCGAACACCGCGAAGAGACCGAACCCAAGCAGGGGGATGCTGTGGGGGGTGCGAGCGCTGCCTCGGCACTCACCAGGTTCATGGCCACGTTCACCTCGTTGTAGCTGTCCAGGGCTTCCCCCAGCAGCTTGTTGAGGGCCGGCCAGCTCGGCACCGGCAGGTACTTGGGATCCCCCCTTCCCTGGGCAAAGTGGCAGAAGATGTTGGGCTTGGCAAACAACACGTCCTCACCGAGGTGCTGGGAAAGGCAGTGCCAGCTGTGGGGCTCGGCCATGGGGCTCAGCCGTGGGGCTCAGCCGTGGGGCTCAGCCGTGGGGCTCAGCCGTGGGGCTCAGCCATGGGGCTCAGCCGTGGGGCTCATCCCCACCAGGCTGGCGCCCGCCCCCCCTCACCTTCCAGCCCAACTTACCCCAAAGTACTTCTTGCAGGTGTCCCCCAGCACCTTCCTGAAGGTGGTTTGATCCTCTCCATCCATGAGCTTGTCTCCGTACGCCCGCTCAGCCTCGTGCAGCCAGAGGCGCACCAGCTCCACGGGGCTCTTCAGGCATTCAGGGGTGGAGAACAGCAAACCCTGACAACCACACGAGTCCCTCGGTCTTTGGGGGGTGTCTTATGGCTGCTTGGAGCTGAGTTTCAAAGGTTGGCTTTGGGAACTTAGTGCTGTACAGGGCCATGGTGCGCTGCAGGGACTCATGATGCAGGGAAAGAAGGAGTAAGGGTGATAAAGGAACACAGATGTGTTGAACAGCCCTCACACTACCTGGAATATGTTGGAGAGGTCCCGCAGGTTGAAGAGGTAGTGGAACTTGATGGCTGTTGGCAGGAAGGTGGAGGCGACTTTCTGGTGGAGGGCTGTGGGCAGGAGCTGGGGGTGAGCAGGGGGCACAGGGCTCCCAGTGCTGGTGCCCGCCTGTCATGGTTTAAGCCCAGCCGGTAACTCAGAACCATGCAGCCACTTGCTCACTGCCTCCCCCCTGCTTCTTCCCCCCCCCCCCGCTCCCAGAGGGATGGGGAAGAGAATCAAAAGAATGTAATTCCCACGGGCTGAGATAAGAGCAGCCCAGTACCTAAGGTACAACACAAACCACTGCTGCTGCCACCAATGATAACAATGATGATGAGGGAAATAACAAGGGGAGAGAATACAACCGCTCACCACCCGCTGACCGATACCCAGCCTGACGCAGGCAGTGATCTAACCCTTCCAGGTGACTGCCCAGTTTCTATACTGGGCATGACGTGCTGTGCTATGGAAAACCCCTTTGGTCAGTTTGGGTCAGGTGTGCTGTCACTGCTTCTTCCCGGCTTCCCTCCTCCCTGGCACAGCATGAGACCCACAAAGTCCTTGGTCAGAGTGAACGTTACTGAGCAGCAACTAAACCCATCGGTGCTGCTCCCAGGCTGGAAGTCAAAACCACAGCACTGCACCAGCTACCCAGGAGAGAAATGACTCCTACTGCAGACCCCAGGACACTGCCCCCTTCCCCCGGAGCGGCAGGGGCTCACCCAGTGCTGCTGTGACCAGCTGTGACTGCAGCCTCTGCACAGGCGCAGGCATCTTCTGCAGGGCGAGGTGCTGCGTGAGGATGCTGCTGTACACGCTCTGCAGGGCCTCCTGGCCCGGAAAGCTCACGGCAAAGACGCAGAAGTGGCGCTGTGCCCAGGGGCAAACATTCAGGCAGGAGTTTTGCCCTGCATAGGCTGATGCAGGCGTCCTGCAGCGTGATGGCCCCCGTCCCACCCTGTCCCATCCCACCTCACCCCACCTAGCTCCAGTCCCAGGACAGTGAACCCGCTGCATCCCTGTGTATCCTGTTTACCTGCAGCCTGGAGTCGATGGTGAAGGATCCTGCTGTTGGGTTCATGCAGGCCACATACTGGCAGTTGTGAATGTCCTTCAGGGTCAGTTTGGTCCTGTCGTACCTGCACAGGGACCAGCACTGTGATGCTTTCCCCAGGGATGGGTTTCTCCAGTTAGACTGTGCCCCACCAGCCCCATGAAGCCCCATTTGGGGGGATGTGGGAACAGGGATCCCCATTTCCCTGGTGCTCAGCAAAGCCTAGCACTGCTCTTGGCAATGCTACGTGGGTCCCTTCATGCACCCCAAGCCTCTCCATGGCAGCTGGCACTTGCCACCTCCTCCCCGTCTCAGGGGAGCCTTCTGCACTGCAGGATGCATTGCCAGGCACCGGGAACCCCGCCAGGGCTTCCCCGCCGGTGCTGGCAGCGCGGCTGTTTGCGCTGGGTGGGGTTTGGAGTCCCCAGCAGGGAGTTTCCCCATTCCCCTGCCAGAGCCTTCCCCGCAGCTCCGGGAATGAGCAGGCAGCGGGGGAACGGGAGGCTCAGCTCCGCAGCAGTGCGCTGGGGGGGCAGCACGGGCAAGGCACAGCTGGGAGCGGTGCCAGCATGGCAGGGATTGCCAGGCAGACGGTCACCAAGGCCCCACGGCAGGGGCCGCTGGCCAGATACCCACCAGTGCCCGTGGTCCAAGTGCTGCCGGATGAGCGTGTGCGGTGCCACGGTGCCGTACTCGTCCACCTCCGGCACGTTCATGTCGTCAATGAAGTAGATGAGCCGCTTGCTCCCAGGCGGGCCGTAGCTCCTCCCGGATTTCTTCTCCAGGGGCTTCTCGAGGACAGCTGCATTGGGCGGAGGTGAGCAGTGGGGCAGTGCCATGGGGCACAGCCCCGAGTGGGGCTGGCTGCTGGCTGGGGCTGGCCTTACCCTGCAGCATGGCTGAGGTGGTGTAGAAGTTAAAAGGCACAAACTGCACGAGGTATTCATCTGTGCTGAGCGTCTCGAGCTTGTCCCGCACCAGGACTGACTTCCCCGTGCCCGCATTGCCCACCAGCATCACCGGCTTCTTCTTCTCCACCAGCAGGTCCATGAGGAAGCGCAGGCGCGTGGTCTCGGTGGTGTGCACCAGGGAGGCCTGCGGAAACGGCACCGTCAGTCCCCGGAGCTCGCCTCTTGCTGCTGGAGGTGTTTGCAGGCAGGTGCCGGAGCCGCGCCTGGCTCCCCCAGCGATGCCCCTGGTCTCACAGAAGATGCTTGCTCTGCACAAACCTGGTCCCTTTCTAAAGCCTAAGGCTCAGGTGTGTGCTTATTCTAAAGATTTTCTGACCCAAACTAGGAGCTGTGAGAAAAACGAGTTCTTAAAGAGCACAGCCCAGGTCCTGAAGCTGTTCCAGTGGCTTTGCTCGGCCATCGCAGGAATCAAATGAATCCCTGGCCCCTGGCCCTTTCCCTGGCCCAAGCCCCCTCCCTCAGGACACCAGTGCAAAACAAATGTAAATAAAGTTTTAAAGCCCATTTTGGCTTTCAGACAACCGTTATTAATTATTTGAGAACCTACCAAGCCAGAGGCTGACCTGAAATTTTAAAAGAGGACTCGGAACTTGCAGCCCCGCTGAGGTTTCCATGGGGTGAAGCAGAGCCATGGATGGGGTCTGCCTGGTGCCACGCTGGGGAAGCCCATGGAGTAGCAGCCAAATAAAGCACATAACCACAGAGAGCCTGTGGAGGATACCTACCTGCAAAGGGACATCAGGGCTGAGGTTGAATTCTGGCACTTTTTCAGACCAGGGAGTGAATCTCTTCGATTCCGGATGGATGAAGTAGTCAAAAATTGTCCCCTGAGAAGGGAACTTGATAGTTTTGAATTCGCTCAGCCACCACTTGCTGAACTCGAGGCGGTAATCCATGAGCTGGGAGGAACCAAACAGAGAGCAGCTCAGAAACTGGCTTTAGGATCTGCTGCTTTAGGATCGTCCGGAGGGAGGCAGCCGTGGGCAGGAGGCTCTGGTGAGCAGGGAGGCGCGGGCAGGCGCTGGGTACTTGGTCCTACAGTTGTACCTGGTCCTGGAACAGGGCCCCACCAAAGGCCCAGGTACAGGCGAAGACGAAGTAGAGCTCATAGAGGTCCCGGGACGAGTCCGGCGGCACGTTCTGTGGCGTCAGGAGGCACTCAAGCAGGAACAGCACCATCTGAACCAGCGTGACCTCAGGGATAGGGGTGATCTTCTTGAATGCGGTCTTGTGCTTGTCCAGGCACACCGGCAGGTACTTGTCAAAGAGGATTGTCAGACTGGCCTTCTCGGACTGCACTGGCCTCGTCTCGATCCAGCTGGTCACAATGCTGCCAGAGGGACAGGCAGGGCTGCAGGCCAGCGCACGGGAGCCAGCAGCCCCCCCATCCCATCCCATCCCGTCCCATCCCATCCATCCCATCCCATCCCATCCCATCCCATCCCATCCCATCCCATCCCATCCCATCCATCCCATCCCATCCCATCCATCCCATCCCATCCCATCCCATCCCATCCCATCCCATCCCATCCATCCCCCTCCCTGGGCTCACGGGCTCCAGCCCAGGTCAGTGGGGTTGATGTAGAGGATCCCTGCCCGGGACACGGTGGCCGGTGTGGCAGTCCGCAGGTGGCTGGTCTCGAAGAGGAGCCGCATGGTGGGGTTGAGGGGGATGCGCTCATTGCTGGCCAAGGTGAGAACCTGGGGAGGAGCCCATAATGGGGGCAGGCCCTGATCTTGGGGCACAGGCATGAACACATCGAATCACCTTGAATTAATGAGGGGTTATGATGGCACCGACCTTATTGTCATCCATGACTGTGTTCAGGGACTCAATCCACATGGGGTCAATATCTCCATCGAGTATGATCCATTTGGGCCCTTTATGTGTGATGTTGGCCAGGTCACGCATTGCTGTAGAAAATAGACCTGCCCCATAGAAAGACACATAAATTTGTCCTTTTGAGCAACGTTTGCTGGGGACACACACACAGGGCTGGGTGCGTCCCTGAACCGTGTCCCCCTCCCTCACACGTCACTAAAATGCCCCTAGAAAAGATCTTCCCATTGCACCACCGCATCCCAAGGTGTTTACAGAGACATGCTGTATGAAGTGAATCACAAAGCTGCTGCAGGACGGCTGCCACGCGGGTGAGCGACCGCTCACAGCGCCGGTGTCTCACCGTCCTTCCACTGCCGCGTGGACGGGTGAATAACGCCGAAGAGCTCGTCGCAGGTCACAGCCTTGGGGTCGAGGTCCACGGTGACTGGCTTCCGCTGCATGTTCCTGTACGTCTCATTGAGCGACCGCAGGACCTGCGCACGGGAACCATGCAGCCGTGGTGCTGGGCCCGGCCCTTGCGGTCCTCAAGGGTCTGGTGTGGCCCCGGGCACCGGCTGCGCTGCCGTCCCTGCCCCAGGCACAGCTGCTGACTGCGGCTGGCACAGGCATCGGAGAGGATGGGAGAGGCCATGGGATGTGCTTGACCGGGGCAGGAGGGGACTCGTGTCCGCAGGGATGGTCTGTGGCTACCTGGGACTTGCCACAGCCGGCGCTGCCGATGACAAAGACGGAGTGCCTCACTTGCAGCAGCTCCTCCAGCTGCACCACCTTCAGCACAAAGCTCTCCTCTGCCTGCAGCTTCAGCTCCAGCACAGACTGCCTAATGACCTGGGAGGGAGAGCAGGCGCTGACTACGGGCACTGGCCACAGGCAGCTGCCACAGCCTCTGCGAGACCCCAGAGACCACCTGGCTTCCCCCGATGTGCCCAATGCACCTTCAGCCTCTGGACCCTGCCAGGGCTGGGAGGGCTCCGGGTTCCCACCTTCTCCAGCTGGAGGTCCCTCTTCCTGGGAACATCCAGGGCTGGGAACAGGTCTCCAATCAGCCTCATGAAGACGGGCAAGTCATCTGTGACGATCTTGGGGATGTTGAAGTCTCTTAAAGCTCTCATCAGAACTTGGTCCTCAGCAGAGTTTGGGTCCTCTCTCTTCAAGGAGCCTGCTACCACCAGCACGGACTTGATAGCCCGCAGTCCCCAGTCATAGTGGTCCTGTGACAGGCAGCGAAGTATTAGACTTCATCTGGGGGGAGGGAGAACTGCCTTAACCAACACCCCTGAGGAACACCCTCTCCATCACCCCAGCCCCAGATTATCCACACTGTCCAGACAAGAGGCCATAAAGTGAGCTTATTGACAGGACAAGCCCCAGCCTGGGCTTGATTCCTGGAAGCATGTGTTTCTGTAAATCACTTCTGCCGAGATGAACAGTATCTGGATGCTCTCATCTTAACTGACTGTATTCTGTTTGATTCTGGTTTTGGAATACTTGATTTCTTCTGGAAGGCAGAAATATGGCACATGATGCATAGCGTGGAAGTGGAATTTACCCAGCCACAGACCTGAGCTATGCAGAGCATCAGCCAGCGCATTACTACCAACAGTCTCACTACGATCCATCAGACTTGAAATTCAAGCGAGCTCTTTCACCTTCAAGGGCTGTGCAATACTGTGACATTACCTGTTTAGACAGAAGCTCCTTACAGAGTGCGTACAGAGTAATGAACTTCCTTGCTAGGAGCTTCGCATCCATAAAGCCTTCTGCAACAAGCATGATTTCACATATCAGCTCAAAGTCGGGGACCACCATGGCGCAGGGCCTGTGAAGGGCAGGAGGGGTTTGCAGGGCTGTGCATGAGCACCCGCAAGCCCTCATCCTCCCCTAGCCAGCAACCTGAGTTGCCAATCTAACTCATTCCCTGCTATTGGCATCAGAGAGCTGGGGCCCTGGGGGTCTCTTGTCCAGCTTTCTGCTCCAAGCAGGGTGTCACAACTGGATCAGGTCACCCTGAGCCTTCTGCAGTCACAGCTTGAGTTCCTCCAAGGCCACAGATCCCACAGCACCCCTGGGCCACCCCTTAAGCGTGTAACCACCTTTTCCAGCTATTCTCAAGTGGATCTGTAGCTCAAGGTGGCAGCTGGACACCCCCAGCATCCTGTCCCCAGGCTGAGCAGCCCCTGAGCACCCCAGGGCTCTGAGCGGGGCTGTCCTGGGAAACAAGGTGTCCCCAACACAAACACCCTCATTTGCACTAGCAGGGGCTGAGGTCACGTTATGGATGCAGCACACAAGTGTTGCTGCAGAGGTAAATGCTGCAGTTACTGCAGTCACGCACAGACCCATCCACCCACAGTTACCTGAAGAGAGCTTTTAAGTTTTGAGGAAGTTCTGTCCGTCCTGCATAGCCAGGGTTCATGGTGATGAAGAGCCCAACGGATGGGACCAGGCTGATCGTCTCCCCAAGGAAACTGAAGGTCTTCTTCTTGGCACGAAGTGCATCTTGAATAGACTTCACCTGCCAGGAGCAGAGGTGTTGGTGCTGGCAGCACTGCAGGCCCCTGTGCTCACCCTCAGCAGCCACCCTGGAAGGTGAGCCTGGAGGTCTGACGTGCCATGAGCAATGCTAGCAGTAATACCTTTCCAAAGCCACAGCTCCAGGCGATGGCAGTGCCAGTGGGTGTGATGGGGGGTTGGGATGGGACACAGAGGGGCTGCATGACCTTAAATGTGCCCAAAGCCCCCCATACTGCTACACTACCCCCCCATCTGCATCCCAACACGACACAGTGGAAATAACAGCAGCAAACCATCCCTTTGAAAGTCAGGTTTAAGTGAGAGAACGTTCTGCATGTGAGCTGGAATGTCTCATCCAGTCCCTACCTGCTGCTGGTGTGCACAGGAGCACATACCTGCACAGCGATCACGGACAACACCTCCACTGCAATGCGGTTGAACTCATCGAAGCAGCCCCAGGCGCCGGTCTGAGCCAGGCCTTTGTAGATATTGCCACAGGACTGCAGGGAGAGCACAGAGATGCTTTACACAGAGGCTGCAATGTGGGGATTTGTTACAACAGCTCAGGTACCGGGAGCTGCTCTTGCTTCTGTGGTTAGTGCTGTGCCCTAGTGCAAATCCCACAGCGTTACAGCTCCCGAGGGTCCCCCGGGATTCCATGGACATGAGCTGGCTGAAGCTGTGGTGGAGATGAGTGATACAGGAAGGCATCAGGGGCTGTGGCTGGACCCACATGCGTTGTGCCAGGGAGGGAGCAGCTTTAGGGCAGTGGTGATGGATGCTGCAGTCAAACACAGGGGCTGCACACTGCAGTGGTGCCTCCTGACAGAGGGTCCCCCCCATCTTGGTGGGCACCCCCTGACTCTCACCTCAGTGCCACCGTCCCTTTCCGTACCTTGTAGTCCATCTGCTCAGAGCAGTTGAAGACATAGACCATCATGCCCACGGCCCGGCCCAGGTCCTTGGTGGTCTCTGTCTTCCCGGTGCCTGCGGGCCCAGCGGGGGCTCCCCCCATGCAAAGGTGCAGGGACTGTGTGAGGGTGATGTAGCACCTGCGGCAGGAGGACCAGGGCTGAGCGGTGCCGGCAGCGCGCCGGGCCCCGGCGCCGTGGCAGGAGCAGGGAGCTGGGCACGCACCGGTCCGTCAGCGGGGTGATGACCAGGCGCGGCGCGTTCCCCAGGTACTCGTACGAGTACTGGAGCTGCGCGTCGCAGATGTTGATGCAGCAGTGCTGCACCCCGCTGTCCCAGCGGTGCCGGAGCTGCGACTGCCACGGGAACTCCTGCGCGCTCTCCACCTGCGGGGCAGCCGGTCCCGACCCGCTGAGCTCCCGCACCAGGAGCACACCAGGACCGTTCCCCCCCTCTGTGCGTGGGGAGAGGGCGCAGGCAGGTCCCAGTGCAGCGCTGGGGCGGGTGAGGACCATCCCTCCATGTGCCTGTGCACAGCCCCGCGCTGAGGGTCACCATGGGAACTGGCAGAGCTGCTCCTGGAGCTGGCTTTGCGTGAGCCCCAGCCTGGTCTCGTCTGCCCCAGCCGTGCTGCCACCTCCCCAGCTCCCCCATGCACCCTGACACCCCATGTGCGCTTTACTCATGCTGTCGGGATACTGAGAAAATACTGAGAAGTGATAAAATAACAGGGAATCTGTGCTCAGAGATGCCAGGACACCAAGCAGTAAAAATACCCTCCTGTAATTAATACCTTTGCAAGGATCATTTTGGCCACAACATCCCTGGCGTGGACGTCAATGGTGCAGATTGTCATGATCTTCATCCTGTCTCCAGGAGCGAGGTGTCCAATGAGCAGTGAAATCAGAGCATTGAGCTGAGCAACCTGAGGAAGGGAAGATGATGAACAGAAAATTGATGTCATTATTTGCCCATCTCTCAGTGACCCCCTGGACCAGACCTCGCCTCTCCGGAGCAGAGAGGGGCTGCAGGACAGCTCCAGCACAGGTCAGCTCAGGCTGGCAGGAATGCCAACCTGCTTTCTGTTGTAATCCTTCATTGCGTTCTCATAGCCTTCCTCCAGCCTGGAAAAGGCCATGCCAACTTCTGTGGTCCACCAGATCTGGGTGCATGTCAGAGCAACCTGCGGCACAGCACAGGGAGGAAATGTGGCCATCAAGGGAAACACCCCAGTCCCAGGAAGGCTGTGGGGGCAGCTCCTACCTGTGCGGGGTAGTTGAATACCCACTGCTCCCGTGGCTTCTCCTCGTAGGTGACCATGGCCTCACGGATGAGGGACCGCAGTGTGGAGCGCATGGTGGCCAGCACTCGGTTCAGCCAAACCTCCACCTGTTGGTCACATCCAACAAACCCTGAGCGAGCAGCTCCCTTCCCGTCCGTGTGACCCCACTGCCCCGCACAGTGCCTGCACATCGCGACAGCCTTATGACAGACACCGGCACTGGCCTGCAGGACGCTTCCCATGGCAGTTTATGGGGTATGGGCTGAGGGTGGCCAACAGCGTGGGGAGAACCCCACTGTGATCGCCTGAGGGGGCTGAGGTGACTCTGATACTGCTGCAGCGCTGTTAACCCATAGTGCAGATCCCATCCCTGAGCTTTGCATCTGAAAGGCTTCACAGCTGCATTTTGAACTGCTGTTAGCGCCCAGCAAGCACAGGGCTCATCCCCATCCCAACCCTGCGCACGCCTGCCCCTGTCTGCGGGGGCTCCATGCAGCTCAGCTCACCTGGCCTGACAAGGTGCAGTGTGCATCAAAAGTCACGTACTCCTCGTCCAGACTGAACATCCCCAGTGCAACCTTCATGGGCTTGTTATCCACAGCTTTCTTGAACTTCAGCTTAGCCAGGCTGTCAAACAGCTTCGCGAGGTGACGGGACACCTGGGGACAGAGGCACTGGTCAGGGACCCCCATCCTGCACAGAGCTGCAGTCACCAACCCCTGCGTGGCTCTCGGGGTGCTGCATCCCCAAGAAGGAGGGTACCAGGGCTGGCGTCCTGTCCCTTAGGACTGAAAACATCTCAAAACTGCTGTAACAAGTGAGCACACAGAGACACAGGACTTATCTCCACGCTTTGCACACAGCCCTTACTTCAACTGGCTCGTTCCCATTAGATAAAATATCAAGCAGGTCTGCAGAGGAAATAAAGTAGAATCTGGGAAAAACCATTCTTTTTGTCTCGAGGTATTCAGCCAAAGCCTTCTCACAGACCACCAATCTAAGAGAAAACAAGACAAGAACCTGCAGTTAAGCCCTGATGTAGTAGTGTTTGCTAAGTACTTGTCATGTTGAGGTAAACACCACTTGGGAGAAACCAGACTCCTCCTTTGGCCTCTCTGCCATGCTTCAGCAGGACAGCTCAAACCTCACCTCTTCTGCAACTCCTCCAGCTTCTCATAGAGACCACTCTTGTTTGTAGCTTCAATCACATTGGGAGTTCTTACTGCATCAGCCATTAATTCCTGCAGGAAGAAAACCGCTTCAGCTCTACCCGAAGCAGCGACGAGCTCCCGGGCCCCAGGAACTGGCTTCGCACTTTGAAATCCTTATCAATAGCCTCAAAATGCTTCGAGTCCTCTGGCAGCTGGCTGCGGATGTCTTCGGAGCCAATGAAGATGCTCTCCAGGTGACTCCATGTCCTCTGTACCTCAAGCCAGATGCTGATGATGGTGTCAGCGGTCGACAGCTTGCACTGCCAGGATGACACCTCCTGAAGGAAGAAGGTGAGGTACTTGGAGGTCATCAGGTTCTGCAGCTGCACTTGGTTGTCCTCCAGCGTCTCAATGAGCTCTTCATCCAACTTGAGCAGCATGATGCCAGTCCTGGCGTGAGGCTCATGCTCAAACTCCATTGTCGCCCAGGTAGCGTCCAGGCTGCTCAGCACCTGCAGACGGGTGAGAAAGGAGCTGGACTCTGTGGTGCCGAGTGCCGGGTCCTGTGGAAAGGCAGCAGCAGGAAAGCCTCCTCCAGGGGATGAGCTCCATGGCACCGCACTGTGTGTGGACTCCAGCCCTGGGAGCAGGAACACAAGTGCTGACAGCACAGAGCCACAGCAGAGCAGGGGAGGAACTGAGCCCCAGTTACCTTCTCCATTCCTAGCTCCTTTATGGCTTTGTCCACGATGCCATGAACCTCATCCTCAAAGTTGTGCAGGTTCAGCTGCAGCACATCCGCAAGGGTCGTGTCCTCAGACATGGTGAAGTTCACCTGGAGCAGAACCAGCACTGTTGGGACATGGACTCCCCTTGGCAGGGGCAGCCCAGTTCTAACCCAGATGAGGTCACTGACACATTTAAAGACCCTGCACAAATATTTGCTCATGGGCAGCTCTTAAAAGAGATTGCATGCTTGCTGTGATGGATGCAGATCCCAGGCCAGGGGTGGGAGGGTTCGGAGCACCTGGGTTGCCTGCATGAGCTCCTGCCAGTGCCGGTCCCTGATGGCAGGATTCTGCAGCTCGTTCACGGCACGCAGGGACGTTATCATGTTCTTCACACTGGTGTCCAGCCCTATGAATGCATCCCAGCTTCTCATCTCCTTATCCAAGCTCCTAATGTCTTTAGCAAATTTCTTACAGTCACTATCCATCTGCTCAACATCAATATCCTTCCACCTGGTGGTCTTCCAGTCGTCGATATTGGTGTTAACCTGAATTTGGGAATACATGCTCACAGTTAGCAGAAGCGTTCCTGCCCAGTGCCTGTACTGGGTGCACAGCCCCCCTCAGCAGAGCTGCCCTAATGCTGTGACTACAGCCTGCTCTGTGTCTCGTCCCCCCCCCATGGCATGAGCCTCTCGGAGGAGCCGGCTGCACTCTGCCATCAAGCCCTTGGCCTGAAGACACCGCTGGGCATGGTGCCCTGGTGCAGGGACCAGCATCAAGCCCAGGGCTCCCCGTCCCCACGCTCCCTGCTGACAGCCACCATCTGCACACACTGGGCAGCTCTTTATGGCCTCGGGAGCTTCAAAAGCATGAGGAGCACACCCAGGACCCTGCTCTGCACATCCTCGCCTCCTGCCACCTCCTGCCCTCCCTGTGCTGGGGCACAGGCTGGGGCACCTACCAGGGTGATCATGTCCCAGAGCTGCTTCAGCAGGCACGCCTCCCGCCGGCACGCTTTGAGCTGTTTGTACTCTGGGACCAGCACTTCGAAGAGCCCGGCTGACTCGGACAGGGCAGCCAGGTCACCCTCCATGGCCGTGATCAGCTTCCGCTGCTGGGAGGAGAAAGAGGAAAGGGCTCAGCCAGGGTCAGCGTGAAGGGGACGTCTCCTACCCCAGCAATGGCTCTGTCCCTGCTGCAGCATGGTGGGGATGGGAGGCTGCCTCAGAGCCAGAGCCTCCCCACTGGGATGGAGCTGGAGCAGAGCCCCTGTGTATGGGGCTGGGGGTGGCCGGGCAGTGCCAAAGAGGACAGCACCATTCTTGGTGTCCTCCCCTTTCTCACCGTGTTCAAGGCCTCGTAGGGGTCTTGGTGCGTGAACAGGAACGGGGCACCCTCCCGGAACCTCTCCTGGAAGATTTGCTGCTGGACCTGCGCGGGAGGACGGGGCTCAGGGGGCACTCGGGAGAGCAGCGGGGGCTTCCCCAGGCTGCCGAGCCCCAGGGTGGGCACCTCGAACTGCCGGCACTTCCTGCGGATGGTGCTGGCCTCACTGGCCTGCAGCGGTGCTGCCTCCTGCTTCACCCGCAGGCAGAGCTTCTTGGTGCTGTCCCAGTGCTCGGGGAGCTCCTGCAGCCAGCACAGCACAGTGTGGGCACCCTGCTCCCCCGCAGCCAGCACCCAGCCCCCCGCAACCCACGGGGCTCACCTGGAGCTGCAGGTGGACTCTCTCTGGCATCTCCACTCCGTACATGCTGAGCAGGGCAATCGCCTCCCTCAGGGGCTGAAACATGGTGTCGGTCGTCGCTTGCCTCTCCTTGACCCTCATCAGGTGCCCCATCACTGCCACCAGCCCGTCATAGTCTCCCTCCTCCAGAGGTTTACTCAAGCCGGTGTTGGTGTCGTTGATGAACTCCTCCAGGTCCATGAGGCTGGGAGGAAGGTGCTGGTGCTCACTGGGCGTCCCTGACAGGGCTCAGAGCTGCCCCTCTGCCTGCCATGGGCTTGTTCTGCAGGGCACAGCCCCGGGGGATGCACCCATCACCTCTACCCATCACCAGTGCTTTCACCCACCCCTCCACGGCTCCAGCCCTGCCCTGGCACATGGCGGTGCCTTTGCCACAGCCCAGGCAGGCTCCGGTCACGGGGAGCACCCTGTCCCTATGCTGGAGTTCACCAAACCCCTACCTGTTGGTGACGTGGTCCATGAGGTGCTGCCGGAGCACCAGGCCCCGCTCCTTGATGGTTTTCAGCAGCGCCTGCTTGAAGGGGCGGCAGTCGCTCTGCAGCCACCCCCCAAATACCTTGGTGTTGGCAAACCCCGACACCTCCGTGCACAGCACCTCGCATGTGTCAATCTGGGGACGAGAGCGGGTCACAGCCAGCGGCCAGCACCTCCCCGGGCACCTGGCAGCTCCCCGGGCACCCGGCAGCTCCCCAGGCACCCAGCACCTCCCCAGGCACCCAGCACCTCCCCTGGCACCCAGCACCTCCCCGGGCACCCGGCACCTCCCCGGGCACCCGGCACCTCCCCGGGCACCCGGCACCTCCCCGGGCACCCAGCACCTCCCCGGGCACCCGGCACCTCCCCGGGCACCCGGCACCTCCCCGGGCACCCAGCACCTCCCCGGGCACCCAGCACCTCCCCTGGCACCCAGCACCTCCCCGGGCACCCAGCACCTCCCCTGGCACCCAGCACCTCCCCGGGCACCCGGCACCTCCCCGGGCACCCGGCACCTCCCCGGGCACCCGGCACCTCCCCGGGCACCCAGCACCTCCCCAGGCACCCAGCACCTCCCCGGGCACCCGGCACCTCCCCGGGCACCCAGCACCTCCCCGGGCACCCGGCACCTCCCCGGCACCCAGCACCTCCCCGGGCACCCAGCACCTCCCCGGGCACCCGGCACCTCCCCGGGCACCCGGCACCTCCCCGGGCACCCGGCACCTCCCCGGGCACCCGGCACCTCCCCGGGCATCCAGCACCTCCCCAGGCACCTGGCACCTCCCCGGGCACCCGGCACCTCCCCGGGTGGCACCCAGCACCTCCCCGGGCACCCGGCACCTCCCCGGGCACCCGGCACCTCCCCGGGCACCCAGCACCTCCCCTGGCACCCGGCACCTCCCCGGGCACCCAGCACCTCCCCGGGCACCCGGCACCTCCCCGGGCACCCAGCACCTCCCCAGGCACCCAGCACCTCCCCGGGCACCCGGCACCTCCCCGGGCACCCAGCACCTCCCCAGGCACCCGGCACCTCCCCGGGCACCCGGCACCTCCCCGGGCACCCAGCACCTCCCCAGGCACCCAGCACCTCCCCAGGCACCCGGCACCTCCCCGGGCACCCAGCACCTCCCCGGGCACCCAGCACCTCCCCGGGCACCTGCCCCGCACCTCCTCTTGAAAGTGCTTGAGGGATGGGGCCCCTTGGGGCAGGGGCTCCTCCGGCCTCGTGTCCTCCTCCTCGGGGACGGGGGCACCGCCGAAGGCGAGGAAGAGCTGCAGGAACCGCTGGGGGTCCTCCCGCCACAGGTGGGCCTGCTCCTGGAACGCGGCGCTGTACTCCTCGCCTTCTGACATGGCATCGACCACCAGCATCACCACCTCCTCCCGCATGCTGCTGAGCTCCTCGTGCTCCTCCAGCGTGGTCTGCAGGGATGGGCAGAGCTCTCGGGCACCGGGCACCCTCAGCCAGCGGCAGCCGAGCCGGGAGGTGCCGCCTGCCGGGGACCAACCTTGTAGCTGAGCTTCCCCGGCAGCAGGCGAGGGATGCACACTGCGGCCCCGAAGAGATCACTCAGCAAGCTCTCCGTGAGCTCCAGGAAGCTGTTTTCCCCTCCCAGCTCCAGCGAGGGCCGGTACTGCACTCTGCCATCACGCAGCTCCATTTGCACCTCGAACAAAGGGGCCACGTTGGCCTGAAACAGGTCATCACCTCGTGTGGTGCTTCGCATCCTGTATCGCCCCAGCCCCACGGTGGGGACGAGGGGGGACACGGGCCCCTCTGGCACTCTCTGCCCCGTGCACCAAAGCATGTTTGGCCACTAAACAAGTGCCTGAAGCCACCACCGGTGGGCAGTGGCCACCCCGAGCAGGGGCAAACCTGGACCTACATCAGGGGCCATGTTGTTGAGCAGCAGCTGCAGAGATCTGCGGACAAATCTGAAGAGCCCGCCCAGCACAATCCCGTCCACATAATCCACATAGTCCAGCCATGCCTGCGCTGTCACATCAGCCCTCAGCAGGTTCGCATTCTCCTGCAAGCGGGGTGAAACAACTCGTGTCTGTCAATGAACACCGTGTATTTGCCCTTGAACCCCAAGCAATGTCCCAGCTCCAAGCACTGCCGGTGCACTGCCTGTGGCCCCACGGGTCCATCCGGCCTGGCTGTCCCACGGGCCCCACATCCTTCCCTCTCTCCCTGCTGTACAACCCCAGAACGCAGCCCAGACCCCCCTGGGAAGGCAGCGGGCTCCTCGGCTCAGCACGCAGCAGCACAGACCCCAGGGCTGAGCCCAATGCTGGCAGCTACAGAGCGGGGACAGTGCTGTGCTGAGAGCACTGCAGCGTCAGCACACTCCATGTCACACTGCCCCACAGGAAGCGTCCTGGGCTGTGCCTCACCTCCAGCATCCCTTGGATCTTTACGCCTGCGTCCTTCATGGCAGTGTAGCACCTGGTCAGGGTGTTTGCTCGCCCATCCAGGTCCAGGAGCGCTGTTTCCTTCTTGTCCTTCCTTTGGAACAAGGGATCTGCTGAGCACACCTGCAGGGAGAAGAAAGCAGAGCTGCTCCGTGGTGCTGGGGAGGGGTAAATCCCTGCAGGAAGCTTCGCTGAAGGCACCAGCAAACGCTACCTCTATCAGCTGGGTGATGTGTTCCACGTTTAACTTTGCCTTCTGGACCCTGCTCTGCAAGTCATACAAGACACCTCTCATCTGCTGGATGTACTCCATGACGCCTGGGAGGGAAACACGCACCCAGGGTTGACGGGTTACACAGACCCCTCCGAGGCAATGCGCCATGGGGTCACCGGGGGGCAGCGCGGTCCAGCCCCCACCTCAGCCATGCCCTGTTCAGGGGAGCTGAGGGCAGGTGCTTGGCCAGAGGTGGGAAGGTGCCAGGGCCCCCGGAGCACACACAGCGGATCTCTGGCCTGGGGTTTGTACCTTCATGGTGCCAGAACAGGGTGCTCTCTGCGCAGGCGAGCTGCTCATCCACGGCCTCCAGCTCCCCCGCCACCAGCGGCAGCTCCACTGGCAGCAGCCTCAGCTTCACCTGCGGACCCAGCGCGGGTGAGCAGGGACTGCCCCGCTGAGCATGGCTGTACTCGCCCCTGTGAGCCCCGGCCTCACAGAGGAACGGGCTCCCCCCATGCTGGGGAATGGCAGCAGCAGCTTGGCTCAGCGCTGGGGTCAGCCAGGACGCGGGGTGATGGTCACGCGCCTGCTGCACCCGAACAGCCCTCGGCTTCCAGGACCCATTTCATGAGTCTCCCCCCGGGGCTCCCCGGCCAGTGCTCAGTGCATGGGAAAGCAGTTGGGTCGTCCCCCCTTTGCGACCTGCCTCATTGTACCAGCCAGTGATAAGGTTCAGGTTGTCCACAAACTGTTGGAACATCTCATTTTGAGCAAACAGGGCCTCAGCGCTGCTCGGGACATCCATCCCTTGCAAGTTCAGGTACTTCACCTCCCGCAGCACAGCCATGAGCTGTGAGACACCATGGCCAGAGAAAAGACTTGTGAGGGGAACCCATGAGGTCCCACGCTGAGCCCCATTGACTGACGCTCAGGGGAGGCATCGCTGGCACTGCCCGCGCAGCACCAACCTCTTTGCTGAAGTTCACGCTGAGGAGGGAAGAGCTGGGGTCCCGCAGGATCAGGGGCTGCTCCAGGCTGAAGCGGCAGTCCTTTCCGGGCCCCTGCACCCACTCCATGTAGACGTCCTCACGGAAGCCTTGCAGCAGCCCCATCATCTCTTCGTACTTCTCGGCCAGCAGTTTGGCTTCAGGGCTGAGCATCACCCTGCCCACATCATGATAAAGCAGCAGCTGCTGCAGGGGAAGGAGGCACACGCAGGGCCAGACCCTGCCCCGTGTCCCATGGGTGACCCACACGTACGGGTGGTTGATGGAGAACAAGTCCTTGTAGGGCCCCTGCAGGCGCTCCTGCAGCTCCAGAGCCCACCTGAGCTGCCCGGCCACCGGTGGCATGTTTTTACTGATGGCTGGGCCCGTCCCGCGCGGCAGCGGGGAGGAGATGTGGGTGTCATAGAGCACCTTCACATCCTCCAGCTCGGCCTTAAACATCCCCAGCAGGGCTGAGTAGTGAGGGGACAGCGCAGCTTTTACCAGAGGTCGCTCCAGCAGGTGGGAAAACATGTGCACCAGCTGCGGGAGAGAGGCGCTGGCTTCGGCTCTCCAGAGCATCCCAGAGCAGCCACTGAAAGCCCGCGGTGGCCAGCATGGTGCAGATGCTGAGGGCACAGGTACCTTCACAGCGGACGTCAGGCAGCTGCAGCCCTGGAAGCCTTGGCAGAGGATGGTGGCCAGCCGCCTGTCGATGTCCTCAATCCTCTTCTGGAACTCCACAAAGTCTGTGTTCAGTTGCTGCCAGGAGAGAGCAAAATGATTGAGCCCGGTGCAGCCTCTGCGCTTCCCTCCGAGGTCCTTCCTGAAGGGTTTGCTGAGCCTGGAGGGCTGGACCCCACGGCCTGCCTGACGTGCTGCCATGGGGCAGGTTTCGCCCTTGCAGTGCGCCGACCAAGGGATTTTGTTTCATTTAGCAGAGGTTTAAACGTGGTACCAGCATCCACCCACCTCCTCGGTGGGATCCAAGGAGTCGTATCTGCAGTCAGAAAAAACCTTGATGATTTCAGCCACCTCGGTGTAGATCTGAAACACCTGAGCCCCGAGGATGTTTCCTTTCACTCCTCCCAGCTCTGCCTTCTCCAGCTTCAGGAACTCCATAGCTGTCTGGTACAGGTCCTGGCAAGCACAAACCATCTCACCTGGCTTCTCTTGGTGGCCAGCCCTGGCCCCCCATGTGCTGGGGCGCGGGTGCAGGAGCTGCAGCACCGGTGCACAGCTGTGTCCTGTGAGCTCCCTGCTCCCCTGGAGCATCCTTCCCAGGGACGGGTGCTGTGCTGGGCTCCAAGCTGTGCTCCCAGCCACGCATCACTGCTGCTCCCCCTGCACCAGCAGCCCCAGCCCACCCCAGGGCTGCAGCTCTCAGGGACCAGCCACATTGTGCCCCATGTGCTGTGCTCTCACCTCAATCATCCTGAGCCTGTGCAGGAAGGACTCTGTCCTCCTGAAGATGATGCTGGGGGGGAAGTCCCAGAGGTGCGGGTCCTCCTGCAAGGGGACAGGAGCCATCAGCAACCAGAGCTGGCATCAATGGGGCTGGGCAGAGCCCCACCATTCCGTGCACCCACCGGGAACAACGTGGGCACCAGGTCGGAGCAGTAAGTGTTGTAGGACTGGAAGAGGTTCTCTATGGTGGAGATGCTCAGTTTGATTGCCCTCAAGGTCTCTTCAGGTTCTCCTTGCAGCCCCTTCATCACGTCCTCGGGGCTCAGGAAGTTCCGGGTCTAGGACAGGCGGATACAGTCAGGGGCTGTCGGCAGAGGGGAACACAAAGGGCTCCTTCTGCCCCTGTCCGCTCTCTGGCCTCTGGTGACAGCCGGGGACCCGCGCTCCAGCCCCACGCTGGGCTTTACGGGGCCCTTGACTGGGTGCCTCCATCACCCGAGCTGGGGTCCCCACAGCTGCCCGATGCCACCCCTCCCACTGCTGCCCCAGGGCCGGAGGGGGTGGCTCGGGGTGGGGGCTCTACCAGGTGGATGAGGAGGTTGCAGATCTCCTGCAGGAGCACGAGCACGCGTGGGGGGGAGCCGTAGTGCCGGCAGCTGGCCCGGAGCAGGCGGAGGGCGCACAGCGCCCGGTCCAGGCAGGGCTGCAGCTGCGGGAGCAGAGCCCCGTTAGGGCAGGGCCCTGGCTGTGTAAGGAGGGTCGGCAGAGCCGGGCTGGAGCCAGACCACAGCTGCTCTACCGGGATGGGAAGGCAGTGCCTGGTTCCTGTGCCGCGTACAACTCACCTCGGAGTAATCCGCTTGCTCCATCTCTTCCAGCAGGATGCGGAGTGGCTGCAGGTGGAAGCTGATGTCCTTGGCTTCCTCCAGGCCTGGCCCAAGGGAGAAACCCAGGGCTGGGTATGGGGTAGCCTCGATGGAGGGACAGAGGCAGCTGCCCACCACCCCAGGGCACTGACCAGCACTGACGTCCTGGAACATGCTCTGCAGCACCGGCCAGAAGCAGCTGTTGGCCTTTTCCAGCATCTCTGCCAGAACTGTCACCCGTGGAGAGAGCAGCTGGCAGGGAGAGGTGGGCGGCTCAGCGCCAGGGCTCGGCACTGGCGAAGCAGCCACTGCCTGCCTGGGCAGTACCTGGTCATTGATGCACTGCAGGTTCACTGTCCTAGTGTGCCAGAACTCAAACTCGGCCCTGGGCAGGGGGTGCAGCCCCTCCAGCAGCGGCTCTGCCGAGTCCTTGCTCAGGATGTCCCTGATCTGCTGGGACCACTCAGTGACGATGGTCTCTGTGGCATGCAGCACCGAAACGTCCATGGACCCTGCCAGGCTGAAAGGGGATGGGGTCACTCCCCCACACTGGGACCAGCCTTGAACCATCCCCATGGGGCCTGCCAGCCCAGCAGCCTGGCCTGAGCACCCCTGAGCTCTGCTGCTGGGGATGCTGTGCCCAGGGATGCTCAGGGACCGAGCCGGTGCTGCAGCTCCCGTCCCTCCCAGAGGCACTCAGGCCCCAGCAGCACCCACCAGTCGAGGACGGTGCTGGAGCCCTCCTGAACATCCAGGTGCTTGGGCAGCGGGAGCAGCGGCTTCCCCTGCATCTTCCCGCCCATCACAAGGTTCTCGTTCCTCAGCCGCTGAACTTGTCTGGTGACGTCCTCCACCACCCCCCCGGGCCAGCCGGCCGTGTTCTCCTCGCTCAGGAGCAGGGGGGCCACGATCTGGGGGACGGGGCTGGGTCAGGTCTCCCATTGCAGAGGGCACCGTGCAGCAGCGCTGGGAGCAGCTTCCCCTCCTGCTGCCCACCTGAGCACGGAGGGTTTGGCTGATGCATCTCTCATCAGGAGCCCCCCAGCCTATGGTGGATTTCCAGCTCTCATGGGAGCAGTGAGTGCATCAGCAAAACCCTGGCGCTGAGGAGGAACATGGGGGTTCCCAGGGCTTTTGGGTGCTGTGGGAACATTCATGGGGAGTTTGAGAGGAACCCACTCGGCCACCCCCCACTGCAGGGACAGGGAAGGGGGAACGTTGCTGGGTTTTTAAACCTGCAGGGGGGAAGCGATGAGTCTGAGGCACAGGAGAAACCCGTGCTGGTGACCATCATCACCTCTGTGGCCAGGTGCTGGGGCGCCAGTGCCTGCAGCAACTTTTCTTCTATCAGTGTCATCCAGTGCCCTTCTGAGCCCACCTCAAGCACCAGCCCGTGTGGGGAACCCACCTCCTCCACCACGGTGATGAAGTGCTCCACAGGCGAGGGGCCGATGTCCCCCACCAGCAGCCCGCTCCGGTAGTTCTCCTGGGTGATGCTCTCCTTCTTCTCCTTCACGAAGTAGACACCCTTGCCCCTGAGGGCTGGGGGGAAGCAGGGGGTGGCCTGGAGCTGCCCAGCTGGATGCAGCCCCAGCACCAGCTCCAGCACGTCCTCCTGCCCAAAGAACTCGTTCAGCACAGCCACGGTCTCCTCACTGCCCATGAACTTGTTCCACTTGTCGGGCCGGATGCTCATCAGGTGCAGGGCAAAGCTCTCCAGGAAATCCTGCCGTGCATCCGCCATCCTGCCGGCACCCCAGTGCCTGGGAGACCCAGGCAAAGCCCCCTCAGTGCCGTGCTGGGCAGGCCCTACAACCCCAGCCCTGCCACCAGGGCCCCCTTGCCCAGCTCCAGAGCCACAGAGAGCTGCTGGTCCCCACCCCTGCCTGGGCCCATCCGCATGGATGGGCTCCATCCCCCCCCCTCCTGCCTGGCCCTACCGCTCCCCTGCTCCGTCGCACTCGGCTCGCCAGGAGCCTCCAGCTGCTCCCTTCAGCCCAGCCCAACGGACACCGGCACCAGCCCAACAGACACCGGCACCAGCCCAACGGACACCGGCACCAGCCCAACGGACACCAGCCCCAGCCCCAGCCAGTACCAGCCCCACCCTGACCAATGCCGGCAGAGCAGCCCAACGGCCACCGGCACCAGCCCAACGGACACCGGCACCAGCCCCACCCTGACCCATGCCAGCAGAGCAGCCCAACGGCCACCGGCACCAGCCGTGAACTGGGGCGCTGTGCACACAGAGCACAGGAGGCTGGTGCTGAGCGCGGTGCAGTTTATTTGCTGCGGATCCTCAGCACCAGCGGCCGTGGCAACAGGGAAAAAGAAGAGTGAGGGTTAGAATAAAAACTCCCGCCCCGCCCCGCCCCCCCGGCCTCCGCCCCGCCCCCCCCTACAAAACCATCTAAAAGGAGAGAACTATACAGGAGTATTTACACCTCGATAAATAGACTAACACTGATGCAGGTGCCTCCCCCCGGCCCGGGGCACGAGTGCAGAGCAGGGGGGTGTCCCAGCCCTCGAGCACATCCCCCTGCCTGCTCCGCAGCAAGGGCCTGTGTGTGGGGCTGCAGCAGCCACCGCTGCCCTCGCCAGGGCTGCCAGGCAGCACCGTGCAGAGCTGCTGGACCACGGCCCACACCCGGCTCCAGCGCCCTGCAGCCAGGCCAGGACACCCGTGTCCCCCCTGTACCACCATTCACCGCAATGGGGACAGTTCCTGGCTCCTGTGCCGCAGGGGCTGTCCCTGGCACAGGACAGCTGGAGGGTCCAAGGCAGCAGCATGAGGAAGCTCAGGACAGACCCAGACCCGCTACAACGAGGGCCAGAGTCGAGCCCCCACAGGACTCCCCATCCTGCAGCACCCCAAACCCACCAGCTGCTAAGTGCAGCCTTCATCCTCCTGATGGGAGGCCCCAAGTGAATTAGGACAAGGTGCTGGGGACACCCAGAAGCATGTGAGGCTCCACTCAGGATCTGGAGGTGCTGTGATGCGGTGCTGCCTGCTGCACACACACTGCACTTCCATCCTGCAGCAGGACGGGGCTCCCCGCACACGTGGGTGTCCGTGTATCAGCTCAAGCCTGGGAAGATGCTGGAGATCTGGAGGTGAGGCTGTGATGGGGGGGCAGAGTCACCGAGGCACACGGGCCTCCTCCCACGGTAAAGAAACTGGGAAGCTGAAGCTGGGTCCTGGGCCCTGAGGGCCAAGTTGCAGCGTGGCCCCAGCCCCACAGCATGGTGGGCAGCTGCTGGGGCTGCCAACACTCGGTCTTGCAGGAGGCTGCTAATGTCTCTTAGTGGAGGAGACCTTCTTCTTCCTGGCAGCCAGCATCTCGTAGAAAGGGTCCCGGCTGATGGCTGCCCTGCGGGGGAACGAGGGCTTGGGTTAGTGCACAGCCAGGAGGGAACCGCGGCAGGGCCTCGGGCAGGTCCCTTGTGCCCTGGGAGTTTGTTCCACCCATCCCTGCAGGGTGCCCTGGGAAGCACGGTCCCCTCTGGGCACAGCAGACAGGGCTCTGCCGTGCCCCTGCCCAGCGCCTGCTGCCTGCTCCCCTGAGCACTCACTTGATGCACTTGATCCACTCCTCCTTCTCCTCAGGTGTGGGGGCAGAGATGCGGTACACGGTGTGGTTCCCCTCCACCACACGCCCGTCCGCCTCCGTCTTGCAGGCCTTGATCACCTGGTCCTTGTTGTCGGGGATGTAGAGCTCAAAGCAGTTCTGGGAGGGAGGAGATGGTTCAGATGCAGCCCCTCTTCAGCAGGGACCTCAGGCTGGGAGGGACGAGGCAGAGCACCAGGGCTCCTGTCGCACATCCTCCCCCAGGGCAGCCCAGAGGGGCAGACCTGCTCTGACCACCACCAATGGCCCTGCCACCAGCCCCGGACACCACGGGGGCCGGACTCAGTCGCTGTGATGGGTGGAGGCAGAGCTGGCCCCGGGGCACTCCCAGGCCTGCAACACCTCCAGCTTCCCCTGCCGCAACCGAAGCACTGGGGCCAGCCCCAACCCCTGGCACTCACCGGCTTCTTGGAGTCCTCCACCTCCCGGATGCTGAGGTTTTCCAGCGGGATGATGCCACGGGGCTCTTTATCCTGGAGGGACAAAGCAGATGCATTGGCTCCAGGCTGGGCACCGCCAAACCCCACAGGGATCCGGTGCCCTTTCCTGGCCCGCCTCAGCGCCCCGCAAGCACCGCTCACTAACCGTTGTGTACTCGAAGTAGTAAAGGCAGTTGTCAGTCAGGATGAACCAGCGTCGCTTCCACGTCTTCACCCTGCCCCCTGGGAGCGGAGAGGGATGGGTTGGGTGCAGCCCCAGCTGGGCTGGGGGCACACGGAGCTGCGGCAGCGCTGGAGCCCGCGCGGACACACACAGAACAAGCACTGGCACCGGGCGCAAGCAGAGCCAGGCAGCGCGGCGGGCAGCAGGCAGCACACACCATGCCGGCACGGCACGAGCGCGAAGCACACGGATGAGGATGGAGGTGGAAGTGGTGGAGGCCGCTGTGCCCCCCAGCATGGAGCAGTGATCCAGCATGGCCGAGGATGCTGCAGCCACGCAGCTCTCAGGGGGACACACTGCCCGCTGTCCTGCTACGTCCCAGTGCCAGGGCAGGCACCAGCCCAGGATCACACCTGAGGACTGCCTGGAGGGAGCTGCAAACTGCACCACAGAGGGAGAAGCTGCTCCTTGGGCTTAGAGTCCTCCAGCCCCAGCTCCCCCTCTGCCACACACCTGCACTGGTGCCAGATGTGCTGCCACTGTGTGCCCAGCACCCAGGAGATGCTGCCCAGGTCCAGCACCGCACGCACTGGGGCCCTGCTCATTCCCCCACCCGCTGACAGCCCCACACCTGCCCCATCCCAACTGGCCAAACCCTCCGTCCCTGCCCCACAGCCAGGCTGCTGCTAGCACTTCCTTGAAGAAAAAGCCCCTCTGCCTCTGTCCAGCCAAACCCACCCCAAAACCTGGGGCTTGACCAAGGGCCACCTCCTCTGCTGGGGCTGCGGGTGGGAAGAGGCCAGAGGTTCAGGGCCCAGGGCTCTGCAGAGCCATACAGGACCAAGGGCCAGGGCAGCCCCAGGGCAGCACCGATGGCTGCACCCCAGGGCTGCAGGCAGTGGAGCAGGGGCACCACCAGCACCCACGGTGACTACTGAGAGCCTTTGGTGCAGCACAGGGCACCAAACAGACAGCTCCTGCTGCTCCCATCCAGCTCCAGGCACTCAGCACCCCCTGACCCCCACACACAGGCTGGGGCCCTTCCTGAGGGCATCCCAAATCTGTCCCCGTCCCTTCACCGAGACGTGAAGACCCGCTGTGGACAGGCTGAGCTGCCTGTGGGCACAGCGAGGCACAGACGGGCAAGTGGCCTCGCCTGTCCCTGGCACAGGGTGCACAGGGCAGTGGAGGGGATTGGCAGGCTCTGGGGAGCACTCGGCATCGGCGAGGCTGGTACCCACGTCCCTGCCCTGGCAGTGGCGGTGGCAGCGTGTCCCCGCAGCAGGCGAGGGCCCTGGGCCGTGCGGGGGGTTAGCAGCAGCAGCAGCAGCAGCAGCAATGAGCCTCATCACCAGCCATTAAAAACGGAAAGGAAAGGACCCAGCGGCGTGAGCAGAGCGGGGAAGAGGGGTACGTACCTCCTGGATGGGGGCAAGGGAAGGAAGAGCCAAAATCATGGAAACATACAAATGAGGGAGAAAAGAAAATTAAAAAAAAAAAAAGGAAAAAAACTAGACCCAAAAGAGGCAGCCCCGCCCCCCCCGCCCTGCGCGGGTCAGTGGGGCACGGCTGCAGCGGGGAAGCTGTGAGGCCGCACTGGCAGCACCGCCAGGGGCCAACCTGCCCTGGCTCCTCAGCGGGGGAGAGGCAGGGCCTGGTTCGCCCCCAGCCACCCCACGGGGCCCCTCCCTGCCCCATGGCAGCTCTGCCACCTCTGCATCCCCCTGACACCAACAGTCCCCACAGCGGGTGCTGCCCTGCATGAGGCCCTCCAACCCTTGGGCTTGCTCAGGACAGGAGGGGCACGTCTGGGCTCTCCCTGTGTTCCCCCAGCCAGAGCTGGGAGCAGACGGCCCTTGTTCAGCCCCATGGCTGGGCTCTGCTCTGGTCCGGGCATGGAGCAGGGTGAGGTCCCTCTCCCACACCAAGAGGTGGCAATAAGGCTGAAACACCCCCTGGTTGAGTGGCAGAGCCCTGATCCCAATGAGAGCCCCCAGCCCTGCAGCACCCGTCCCCCCTCACTTAACCCAGGCAAGGATCCCCCAGAGCTGCCGAGAGGAGAAGCCACAGGAGCCAGGGCGCAGGCGGGCGGTGCAGCGGGGATGCCATGCACGCTGCCTGCATGTGGAGCCGTATGCAGGAGTGAGAATGCTGTGGGGGGTGAGGCAGGGACTTGTCTGTGGCATGGAGGGGGCACCCGCGCAGCCTGGGGCAGCTCGCCGCTCGCTCGCAGGGCCTGCTCTGGCAGGACGCTGCTGTGACTGCTGACCAGAAGGGCCTCATGGTCTCTGTGCTCAGCACCAGACCCTGGTACCAGCTCTGCACCCTGGGCTCGCCCAGCCTCCAGACAGCATCTCCCGGATGCCCACCCAGCCCCACCGCTGTAAGTGAGCTCCTGCCACCCAGCCCAGGGAAGATGAGGGCTGATGGATGTACTGATGGACGTGCGGACGCTGGCCCCACGGGGGCTGTGCCCTTGTTGCTGCCTCTTGCCCCTCAATAGGACCACGCTCTGAGGAGCCAGGCCGACAGACAATGTGCAGGCAGCCCAGAGGCATCACACCCACAGCCCTGTCCTGCCCTCCCCGGGCCACGTCTGCCCGCACTCACCAAGCTTCAGCAGCCAGCCCTCCCGGTCAGGGTTGAAGAAGGTGTGGGTGAGGTCGTTGCCATCATCCTCAGGGATTTTGAAGGGTTCGTTCTTGATGCTCTCATACAGATTCTGGTACAATACCACACAGTGTCGGCTCTGCTCTGCTCTGGCCAGGAGCCCTGTGACAGGCCAGCTCCACAGCCCATCCCCAGCCCCGCCGCATCCTGTCCCTTACCTGGAGCAGCTCCTCTGGTAGGTCCCCCCCATCGTTGATGCCACGGTTCATGGCAATGAAGCGCTCGGCCGTGGGTTTGTCCTTGACGTTGGGGTTGTGCAGGCTGGTGTTCAGCATGATGATAGCGAAGGAGAGCACGTAGCAGGTATCTAGAGGGGCAGAGGGGAGTCAGCCAGAGGGCAGGGCCTGGGGCAGAGGGGCCAGGCAGGCACTCACCTGTGGACTGGAAGACGCCGGGGTTGCACTGGCAGTACCGCTGCGCGAAGGCCTCCATCATCCGGTCGATCTTCTGCGCCTCCCCGGGCAGGCGGAAGCTCCACAGGAACTGCCTGGGAAGAGCGAGGGCTCGGCTGCTCTGGGGGCTCCACACCCCCCCTGGCCCCCCGCAGGCCCCATGGGCCCCGCTCTGCCCCCTCTGCTCACCGCAGGGCCTGCACGAGGTTGAGGTCAGTGAACTCGTGCAGCTCCACGAAGGCGTGCAGGACCTGGATGTTGAACTCGTCCCTGTGGGAGCAAAGCATGGTCAGCGAGGGCTGCATGGTCAGCGAGGGCTGCATGGTCAGCGAGGGCTGCATGGTCAGCGAGGGCTGCATGGTCAGCGAGGGCTGCATGGCCAGCGAGGGCTGCATGCTCAGCGAGGGCTGCATGCTCAGCGAGGGCTGCATGCTCAGCGAGGGCTGCATGCTCAGCGAGGGCTGCATGCTCAGCGAGGGCTGCATGCTCAGCGAGGGCTGCATGCTCAGCGAGGGCTGCATGGTCAGCGAGGGCTGCATGGTCAGCGAGGGCTGCATGCTCAGCGAGGGCTGCATGGTCAGCGAGGGCTGCATGCTCAGCGAGGGCTGCATGGTCAGCGAGGGCTGCATGCTCAGCGAGGGCTGCATGCTCAGCGAGGGCTGCATGGTCAGAGAGGGCTGCATGGTCAGAGAGGGCTGCATGGTCAGCGAGGGCTGCATGGCCAGCGAGGGCTGCATGGTCAGCGAGGGCTGCATGGTCAGTGAGGGCTGCATGGTCAGCGAGGGCTGCATGGTCAGCGAGGGCTGCATGGCCAGCGAGGGCTGCATGGCCAGCGAGGGCTGCATGGCCAGCGAGGGCTGCATGGTCAGTGAGGGCTGCATGGCCAGCGAGGGCTGCATGGTCAGCGAGGGCTGCATGGTCAGCGAGGGCTGCATGGTCAGCGAGGGCTGCATGGTCAGCGAGGGCTGCATGGTCAGCGAGGGCTGCATGGTCAGCGAGGGCTGTGACCGCCGAGCGCCGCCCTGCCCCGCTCTGCCCTCGGCTCGAGCGCAGTGCTCAGACCCCCTGTACCCCACTCGCTCGAACTGCTGCAGTGTCCCAAGAGCCCCGAGCTGCCCGGGCCAGCGCACCTCTCGCCCAGGTAGTCACCGATGGCGGTCTTGTTGAGGCCCTCGCCCTTGTAGAGGAACTGAGCGATGTCCTCACACGTGTTCTTCAGCAGGTCGTTTTCGATCAGGAACTGGATGCCCTGGAGGGGTGCAAGAGGCTCTCCTCTGGGCCCTGCTGCTGGCCCCTGCAGCCCTGTCCCGGCAGGACCACGAGGTGGCAGAGCCCAGCACAGCCCCATCAGGCGGGTGAAGAGCCCCGCTCCTCATGGTACCTTCTTGGGATCCATGTTGAACTTCTTCCTGCCCATGGCCACCTGCTTGTTCCTCTGCATGTTTTTCCTGCAGGGCACGAGTAGCTTTGAGTACCCAGCAGCCTGGCTGCCTCCTGCACACCCCTTTGGGCAGAGCACTGCAGGAGAAGGGTCAGCCTGAACCCAGCAGGAGCTCAGCGACTCTGCCCCAGCCAGGCCCCTGCACTGATCCTGCAGGGGGCAAAGCTGGCAAACGGCTCCAGGTCCCTGCCCTGCTCCATGGGGCTGCTCGTGGCCTTGTGGGCCCCAGAGCAAAGAGGAGCTGCCATGCCCCATCGCAGGGTCGCCCTGTGCAGACGGGTGCTGGGTATGGCATCCCAACACATCACCTCTGCATGGGAGGACTAGGGCGAGCCGGGGGAGGTGGGGTTCTGGGCAGAGCAGCCTTCAGGCTCCAGTGGGGCTGGTGGGAGGGTGACGGCCTTCACGCCCCAGTGTGTGATTGGACACGACACCGGGAGTTAGCTCCTGCCGGCTGCAGGACCCCCTAATCCGGGCTGGCACTGCCTGGCCAGCCAAAACAACAAAGCTGCTGTGGCGAGACAGAGGGGCTGAGGCCTGGGAAAACAGACTTTGGGAGCAGCAGTTCAGGCTGGGATCCTGCTGCTGCTCCCAGGAGTTCAGAGCGCCTGGGAAAGCCACCAGCACCCATGGGATGGGGCTGCACCGCTCAGCTGCCCACGGCACAAGGGACACCCAGGGTGGCCTTGCCATGGCAGGGGGGCTCAGGGTAGCCCTGGGCTGTGACAGTGAAGCACTCACCTCTCCTCTGTGGACCCCAAGTTCTCGATCTCATTGGTCACTTCTGCTATCTCATCTTTCAGCCGCTGAGGGAGAGAGTGCACTGAGACAGGAGGTGCCTCCTTCCCTCCCAAGCCCTCCAGCCCTGACAGCAACCTGGGCCCAGTCCCCCAGGAACAGTCCTTCCCTTCCCTCCTTCCCAGCCCGAGGGGCTGAGCCAGCTCGCGGGGCACTTGCAGTGGGGCTGGCTGCACCCCACTGCTAATCCCCCTCAGCAGCGCCATGCTCAAAGTGCGCAGGAAGGAAGAGATTGAGAGGTTAACAGAATTACTCCCTAATCCTTTTAGATCATGCCCAGCATATGGCAGTAATTAGCCTCTGCTGCCTTAATCAGGGACATGACTGACGGGTGTCCCACATGAGCACTGACCTCGCAGCTGCTTGCCAGGGCAGTGCCCTGGCCCAGGGACATAGCCCCTGCCGGTGCCAGGAGGGGCTGGCACAGAGGTGCCAGTGCCGTGGGGAACAGCACAAGCACAGGGCCCAACGCTCTGCAGGCACCATGGGCTCACCCGCTTGCCAGCCTGGCCTTGGCCGCCACTGGGATCCGCTCCCAGCCCCAGGGCCCCACAGCAGCAGTGCAGTCAAGCAGCAGGCAGCAGATCACAGGCTCCCTGCACCCACCCATGGGACTGGCTCATCCTGCCCTGCAGTCCCTGAGCTCCCATCTCCTGCCCTAAAAGGTCCATGAGAGCCCCTATGGGCTGTGAGGAGCCAGGGCTGGCAAGGAAAGGGGATGGGAGCACAAACCGAACCCACAGCCTTGCCTGCTCCTGCCCGGGCTGTGCAGACATGGAGCACAGCACCCCAGTCCCACGGCTGTTATGGACAGCCCGGGCCAGAGCAGCTTCTCCTCCCCACTTCTGCTTTCCCAGCAGCGGGCTGAGGGAGCCTGGCTGGGGCGGGCGGATTGCTCCCTGCCTCGCAGGGGACAGAGCCTGGGAAGCAGCCGCTGCGCCGGGCGCGGGGATGTCCCTCAGCATCATCCCACCTGTATGTCAGCCAGCAGCTCCTGCTTGCGGCGGCGGATGTTCTCCAGCTCCTGGCACTCCTCCGGGGTCAGGTCACTGGGCACTGCGTGCAGACACAGCCAGGTCAGCGCGCGCAGCCCCGGGGAGCCTCCACCAGGCTCCTGCGGCCCCTCAGGAGCCGGGCTGGGAAGCGGCGGCCCCGGCCCCGCACACGGCCGAGGGCCACAGACGGCACGCGAGGAATGCGAGGGCCAGGGATGGCCCCACGGGCCGCGGCTGCAGGGGGGAGCTGGGCACCGCCGCTTCCTGCTGATTCAGCCCGCGGGCAGCGGGGACCAGAGCGGCCCCTGGACCTGCTCCAGCGCTGCTCCTCCTCCCGTTTAACTCCCACCACCCCAGCCGGGCCCGTGGCGGTGCCTGTCCCAGGCCCAGGCCCTGCTGTGACCCAGCACGGGCTCCACACAGACCTGGAGCCCTGGGGGCTGCTCTGCCACACCGGGCCAGCTCCCGGCCACCCTGCAGCCGCCTCTGCTGGCACACCCTCCGGACAGACTCACCTACACACCGTGACACCCACATGTCCGTGTCACCTGCGGGAGCCTGGCACCCCTCCCCAGCACCATCCCCATGGCTCAACCGTGGGGCTGCCACATGCCCCCCTTGCTCCGGGACATTCCCAGTGCTCCTTGGTGCATGACCTCCCGCTCCGCAATGACACGGCATCCCATTCCCACTCCCGTTCCCTCCTGTTCCCAAGGTCGCACTCCCCAGCAGCGCTGCCAGCCCTCACCTGCTGCCCCTGCCTCCCACGGCTGCAGCGAGTTCCAGCAGCTCCGCTCACCCGGCACGGCCGCCTGCCCCCGGCCGGGAGCGGCACCCTCCTGCACTGCGCATCGCTTCTCCCCGAGCGGCCCCGTCCGGTCCTGACCACGCGAACAGAATCCCCGAGCTCAGCACTTCCCTGGCTCCGCTCGGGCTTTCTGACGAGCTTCCTCCTTCGCACCCCCCCCCTGCAGCGCCCCCATCGCGGCACCGGCCCTCCAGACACCACGGCAACACCTCCCAGTGTTCTCAGTCTGATGCCAGCAGCTATGAACCAGACAACCCAGCTCGTGGGACCAGGATAAAAGTTGTTTCAACTCAAAGCACCGGAGGCCTCGCGTTATCAATGGGTGCAAGCACCTTCTGCGCACACCAGCGCCGTTCCTGCAGGCGCTTGGCTGCTCTGCCCAGCGCCCAGGGCTCCTGGCAGGCCCAGGCTTGCTGCAGGAGGGAGGCCCGAGCTGCAGTGCGCCTGTTGCCAGACACAAGAGCCTCTAAATCCCAGGGCTGCAGCAGGTGCTGCAGAACCCTCCTGCCCCCCCACGGCACTGGGGCAGGACCTGCCCCAAGACTGGAGCCAGCACGGGGAGCAGGGGCAACAGCGCAGCCTCCTGCTGCCCACCTGCAAGCAGGCAGGGTCCCGCCGGCCCCGGGGCAGGCGCAGCGCAGGGTGGGATGCGGCAGGGTCTGTACCAGAGCCTGTGCGGGTGCTGTGGAGGAGGAGGGTGAGCACTCGTGACACAGCCCAGCCATGTGAGCAGCAGCCCGAGGAAGAGAAACCCCAGACACAAGAGCTTTTCTGGGGAAGGAAGAGGGTGTTAACCCGTCCCCACGCTCTGCTCCGCACCCGCCTGCAGCACCGAGCGCAGCCCCACTCCTGCTGGTGGCGGGTGAGCCTCACTGCAGGCAGAGCGGGGTTGCAGGGACCGGGAGGCTGGAGCCAGCGCTTGCTGCCCCGGCTGCAGGATGCAGGCACCGAGGCCCCAGTGTAGGGGCGGGGGTTCCGCAGCTTCTGCTGCTGACAGTGAGCCCGAGGACCCCACACACCAGTGGCAGCAGGAGGGGGACTGACAGGATCCATCCGTCTGTCCCAGGCTCCGGCTCCAGCCTCTGCACATCCCCCCAGTTCCACCATGCCCAAAGCAAAGCACCCCCGGGACACCCAGACATCACACACGCTCACCCCTGGTGCTCTTTCCTACCCCGCTGCCCCCAGACAAGCAGGCAGAGCCCAGCCTCTCCAGCCTCCCCTGCACCCCAGCTCACCGCTGCCCTGCGCGCTCAGCACCATCCTGGCAGGACGCCCCCCCGGCTGTGCCGGTGCTGCCGTGGCTCAGTGGAGGTGCTGCTGCTCTGGGGCGCAGGCACCTGCCTGCCCCAGTTCTTCCCTGGTGAGTCAGGGCCAGGCTGTGCCAATGAGCACGGGGGCCGCCTGGCGTCATCCGGCCTCACCAGAAGCCAGCGCCAGCACCACCCTGTTCCTGCTGCCATCAGGCCAAGGCTGCCAATGCCTTAACCCCTCTGCTCCCGGCCAGGGGGCACGGGGCAGCCAGGGCCCTGTCCTGTCCTCAGCCCTGGGGCTGGGGATCAGAACGTGCTGGGGTCCCAGCCAGGCACTGGACCTGGCCCAGCCCTAGACGCTCGACCCAGCACATCCTGAGCTCACTGCAGCAATGCTGGAGGCTGTTCCCTCCACCAGCTGGGTGCCCCCCACCCCAGCAGGCTCCAAGCCCCCCCCTTCTGGCTCCTCCAAAACGCCCACTCCAGGTCCAGGTCCCATCCAGGCTTCAGTGACTGAGCCCCACGCAGGACCAAGGGGGCTGTGGGGACCACGGGTGCCTACAGCCCTCTGCAGACTCTATGGGAACTCAAACGGGACCAGGAGCAGGAACAGGAGAAAGGCCAGGAGTGATGTTTGTGCCCTGGGAGGTTGTTCCCTGCTGTCTTTCCCCCTTGCTCCAAGGTGCCTGTACAGACCCCACCGCCCTGTACAGGACCACTGTGCAGCAAAGTCTGGTGCTTGCAACAGGAGCAAACCCCTGGCACATCCCATCCTGCTGTCAGCTGCCTGGAGAGGCGGCGCGAGCCTTGGCCACCTTGACTCAGCTAAATCCAGCTCAGCAGCGTGAGATGGAGAAACAGCACCCAAGCAGTGGCTGCAGAGAGAGGAGGAAGGGCTTCAGGAGCCTCACTTGGCCCTTTGGCTCCAGCTGCACACGGGTTCACACTGTGCCTGCACCGGGCCGTGCTGGCAGGGCACTGGGTTTAAGCTGCTTGCAGCTGGGAGACCCACGGCCCCCCGAACTTCCTGCCTGTCTCAGCACACCACATCCTGTTTTCACTGCACCATGTGCGCATCCTGGCTTGTGTCAGCCCCACCCGGCCCCGCCGACAGCAGAGGTGCCGCAGGAGGAGGATTTGGGGCAGGTGGCTCCAGGGAAAGCCCTCGTCCTGCTCTTACGCAGCCCTGCCTGTCACCAGAGCCTGACCAGGAACCCATATCCACCACTGCGGCCTCCTTGCTCCTGCCCTCCCCGTGCACAGACCCCGCCAGCAGTGCAGCCGGGCGAGCACTGCCTCTGCCATGTCCACACGCACTGAGCCCCGTGCAGATGCCAGGAGCGCAGCCCCCACGCATTGCTTGCCCCCTGCAGCGCTCACCGTGCTGGGCCTCAGAAGGAGCAGAACCCGCTGCTGCTTGGCCTCAGCAGCAGCAGACCCTGCAGGCAGCCAGCCCTCAGCAGCACCTCCAGTGCAATAGGCACTGAGCTTTCCTGCATGGATTCTGGTTTGGAGAGTGCCACCCAAGCTGCCTTTGCAGCCACACACAATTGCCACAGGGGCAGCAGGGTGAGGGGCCACTGCCACACCAGGTGATGTGCATCCTCACAGCCACCACCGGCTCCGGAGCACTCCCGGTCCCAGCAGGCACTGGTGCAGCCTGATGCCACACGAGGTAGCCGGGCCTCAGCACTTGGAGACCCAAGCCTGGGCAGGCTGGTGGTGAGCAGGGGAAGAAGGTGGTGAAACAGCCAAGACGCTGCCGCTGTCACCGAGAGCCACATGGAGCTGGAGCCACAGGCACTGCCACGTCTGCGGGAGGCGGGGGACCCCAGGGCAAGCAGAAGGGAGGAGGTGAAGTGCCTACCTGCCTTGGCAGCCACCGACGGGCAGAGGAAGGCCTGGAAACTGGAGGCACAGAGCTCGCTGACCGTCCCCATGCTGCGGAGGTGCCGGGGCAGGCAGGAGCAGGCAGAGGCCTGGCTGGTGCCGGTGCCTGCGGGGTGGCCGCAGGACTCCCGCTGGCTGGAGCCGGGGAAGGTGCCTGTGCCAGGGGAGCTCCAGCTCCGGAGCCCACGCGCCAGCCCCAGCCAATCCCCGCTACCCTGCCTGCGCAGCACCCGCTCTGCTCCCGGGCTCCGGCCGCCGGCGCCTCAAAGCCCCTTAGAGGTCGAGGAGTTTGGGAAGTGCCGGCAGCCCCCGGCCTGCTCTGGTTGCGCCCCGGCAGCCCCTTGTCCCCGCGGGGGGCCGGCAGCGGGGTATTTTTAGAGCGGTTTTATCCCTCCGTATTAGAGCATTAAGCATCGGGAGCTGGCGGTCGCGTAGCAACCAGCACTGCATGAGGGAAGGTGCTCCGAGAGACAAGGCGGCTGTGGCGAGGCGTGGGGAGGGGGGGGCCGGGGCCGGTGCACCCCGACGGGCCCAGCCTGCCCCGGTGCGGGGCCGGTCAGCGGCTCAGCTCCCAGCAGCGCCAGCACTGGGGGCGTCCTGCCCAGGATCCCGGCCCCAGGGCGAGCTGCGGAGCTGAGGGCACGGCACAGCCCTCCTGCCCGCTGCACCCCCGGCCCCCCCCAGCCCACAGGCATCAAGCGAACCCAAACCGGCCCGACAGCTCTTCCCCTCAAAGCAGGAGCGATCTCCGACACAGGGCACGGCCATGAGTAAGAAACCCCAGAGCCTGTCAGGGCAGGAGGCAGCGTCCTGCGGGCAGCCCGGCTGCCAGGAGCCGGCAGGCACCGAGACGTGCTGAGCCAGAGGAAACCGGAGCCAGGCAGGAGCGGTGAGGGCACCCTGGGAACAAGCTGCCCTTGCAGGTAGGAGGGTGCAGAGCCAGAGGGTACCCAGCACCCAGGGCTGCAGGCATAAGGAAAGGTGGAGAAGAAGGCTGAGGGCAGCCCGGCACTCGCCGCTGATGTGACCAACCCGGTTTTGGTACCACTTCCCCTTTCCCAGGGGATGAAGTGGTGGTTGCCACATCACCAGGAGGCAAAAGGCCAAGTGAGAGGAGCTGGGGCAGCTGAGCTGGGTACATCCTGTGGCAACTGCTGCCAGGGCCTGAGCCAGCATCTGGAGAAACCCTCTGCCTGGGCGAGAGGAGAGCGTGTACCCAGGGTCACGTTAACCACAGCTCCAGGCCCTGATCCACTGTCTGCCAACCCGAAGAGCTGCCTCCCTAGAGGAGAAACCTCAGACCCGGACCCGCTGTGGTAGCCCAGATGGGCTGAAACATCCACTCAGGGACACATAGGCCCCGGTGCTTCCCTGATGTGTGACTGCTGCGGGTCAGTGCTGTGGTTTATCATCCTCTACTTCCCAACAGCTCAGCAGAAGTGCCTGATGGCCTGTGCCCAGCACTGCATTGCCGAAGCCCCGACAGCTCCAGCTCCTGGCTCTGTTCTCCAAGCCCAGTACCATCCCTGTGTCTTTGACCCGGCAGCCCCAGAGCTCTGGGGGAGCTGCTCCCCAAGCTGGGCTCAACCCTGTACCACAACTGGGATAAGGCTGGTGCGTCACTGGCAGCATCCACCCCCAGCCCCATTCCCCTTGCTGCAGAGGTGCACACCAGGCTCCTGGGCTGCCTCCAAAAGAGCAAAGCCGGAGGCCAAGGGGCTGCCAGGGCCTGCGAATAAAACAGAGCTGGCAGCGAGGAGAGGACAGGATCCCCCAGCCTGGCAGCGGGACCTGACAGCCCACCCTCCTCTGGGCATCTCCTGCACCTTGCACAGCCCATCCTGCATCCCGGCACCAGCCATCCGACCCCAGACAGAGAGGCTGCCTGGGCCCAAGCCGCTTTGCAGGAGGCTGCATCAGCCCCACTTAGAGAAATCCCTTTATTCCTGAGGCCAGAGTGAGCAGTAATCCCTCGGGTGCAGCAGGATTACCAGCACTGCCCAATCCTCCTCACCCTGGGCTGCGGCAAGACAGATCCCAGCTCAGGACACAGTGCCAGGCAGAACTGTGCTCCCATGGCTGCTCACTGGTGTTCCAGCTTGGTGGGACAGAGGCAACAGCTGGTTCCTAACAGGACACCAGCACCACACTGTCCACACACTGCTCCTGCCAGCTCATCTAGGGATGGTCTCATCACGATCCCTGCGAGGAGATGCTGGGAATGGGGCAGGAGCGGGGGGAGCCGCATCTGTGCCACCAGCTGCTCACCCAGGATTTGCTCTCCGCTGAGGCTGGAAGAGGGGCTGCATGTGGAGGAGCAGACACTGGCGTCACCACAACCCCTCCAGCAAGAGCCTCCCCACTGGGCTCCCACCACACCGAGGCTGCAATGTCCCTACAACTGGGACAGCAGTGGGGTTCGGGAGGTGGCTGTGCCACTAGCACTGCTGCCCTGCAGCACGGTGAGCAGGCAATTTCTGATGCTGACGGATGGCCCAGGACAACTTCCAGGCAATTCCAGGAAGCAGCGAGAAGCTGCTCTCTGAATTGCTCCCTGCAGAGCTCTCCCACTAATGGGCTGCATCTGACAGCGCCTGGGCTGGGCTGCAACCAGTTGGCTGGGTGCTTGCACCTTATCTCACACAGTAACCTCCCTGTTGCCAAGCACAGTCACTTCTAGGGTAGAACAGCCTCTGAACTGGCTGCGTTTCACAACTGTCACAGGGAGGGAACCAGCCCATGAACCCTCTGCATTGGCACCAGCATCACCCAGGTGACTGCAGCCACCAGCACAACGGACGGCATTGAGACCTTGGTTTGAGATCACACCCAGACAGACCCCAGCCTCCCCCTCAGCAAAGTCCTTGCGGAAGGAAAACCCACCTGCCGACCCACAGGAACCTGCCTCAGAGGGTGGAGGCACAGGCAGGGCCTTCCTGCTCCCTGGCACTGGGAGGGAACAGTCTCCGAACATGGAGAATGCAGGAAAGCAGGGAAGCAACATGCACATGCATGACAGACAGGACTTGCAGCAACTGAGCCGCCTCAGCCCTGCCAGGACCAGACCCTGGGCACACCCTGAACACTGTGAGACACTCGACAGAGCCCATGGACACAAGCTCCCGGAGGCCTGCAGAGCCTGAACTCAGTGCTCAGAGGCAGCATCTGAACACCAAGAGCAAGCAGCAGAAAGAAGGCGGAATTCCTGAGCCCAGCACCACCGACACGGAGGGCAGAGGGTCCCCGCAGCACCGGCACCGCGGGCAGCTCACGAGCGGCGGCAGCACCGACAGAGCCCCGCCGCAGATGAGGCCGGGCCCGGGCAGAGCTGAGCAGCACCAAAGAGCCCACGCCGCGCTCTCCCGCACAAACCGGGAGCCGCTGTTCCCTCGGCACTTCTTCCGCCGCCCCACCTGCGGGAGCGGGTCCGAACGAGCCCGCCCCCCCCCGCCGCACATCCCGCTCCGCGGCCCCGGCCCGCACTGACCGTAACTGCCCTCCTCCTCCATCCCGCCGCCGATCCGCCCCCGCCCGCGTCAACGACGGCGCGGAAGCCGCCGCGGACAGGGTCACATGACGCAGGGGCAGGCGGTGCCAGGCAGGCCCCGCCCCAGAGCCGAGCCGAGCCGAGCCGAGCGTTGCCGAGCGTTACCGAATCTTCTCCACGTCTTCATTATGGGCCCCGCAAGCGCAGTACGGGCGGGGCCGGTGAAGTTAATGGTGGGACCCGCTGGAGAGAGTCCAGCGCAGGGCAACGGAGATGATGAAGGGAGTGGAGCATCTCCCTTATGAGAACAGACTGAGGGAGCTGGGTCTCTATAGTTTGGAGAAGAGGAGATTGAGGGGTGACCTTATTAGTGTATATAAATATATAAAGGGGGAGTGTCCCGAGGATGGAGCCAGGCTCTTCTCAGTGGCAAACAATGATAGGACAAGGGGCAATGGGTACCAACTGGAACACAAGAGGTTCCACTTAAACTTGAGAAGAAACTTCTTCTCAGTGAGGGTGACGGAACACTGGACCAGGCTGCCCAGGGAGGTTGTGGAGTCTCCTTCTCTAGAGACATTCAAAGCCCACCTGGACACGTTCCTGTGTAACCTTATCTAGGTGTTCCTGCTCCGGCAGGGGGATTGGACTGGATGACCTTCTGAGGTCCCTTCCAACCTCTAACATACTGTGATACTGGGATGCTGTGATACTGTGATAACGGTGATTCTAGCGTAGTAGGGGGGGAAAAGGGGAGAAGGAGCGAGAGGAGCAGCTCCAGGTGCGGACTGCAGCCGGGGTCATGGGGCTGGAGCAGCAGCGATGGTCCTGAGGCACTTGGCAGGAGCCCCCCCGAGCCGGGCTCCAGGCCTGGGTGGGAGAAAGGGGCTGCTCCAGGCCTGGGCGGGAGAAAGGGGCTGCTCCAGCCCCAGGCGCAGGGAAGCTGCTGAAGGAGCAATGGCCTAGCACAGGGGCAGGGTGATACGGCCCCAGTCAGAGCCGAGCCGGTCCCAGGAGCCCACCCTGTGTGCTCACCCCAGGCACCAGGACCTGCTTCTCTCCCGGCACTTCCTCCACCACCCCACCTGCGGGAGGGGTCCCGCTGGCCCTAACCCAGAGCTGAGCGCTGCCACATCACCAACACATCTTTATTGCCGGCCGTGGGCGCCCCGTCCCCGCGAGGCGCCAGCCCCCATGCACAGCACGGGAAGGGCCGGTGGAGGGGATGCTGTTAATGGTGACTCCAAGGTGGTGAGGAGGGAAAGGGGGGGCAGGAGGGGGAAGGGCAGCCCCAGGTGTGGACTGCAGCCGGGGTCATGGGGCTGGGGCTGGAGCAGCAGCGATGGTCCTGAGGCACTTGGCAGGAGCCCCCCGAGCCGGGCTCCAGGCCTGGGTGGGAGAAAAGGCTGCTCCAGCCCCAGGCACAGGGAAGCTGCTGAAGGAGCCCGGACAAGGCCCGGTCCTCCTGAGCTCCTTCCCAGCAGAAGGCAGGGACAGATGTGGGGAGCGGGGTCCTCTTCCCTCCACAGCAGCTCCCAGGACAGGGTCCATGGCAGGGGCTGCTCCTCCCGCTCGCTGGCATTGGGGCTGGAAGGAAAGGAGCCGTGGGAGCACCTGCCCTGCAGCTCTGCTGGAGCCCCTGGAGCTGCGCACCTCAGAGCCGGTGGCGCAGGCTCGCTGCCTTGGCCGCATGCGTCACTGCCCAGAAGCTGCGCTGGCGGGGCAGCCACTGGAAGGGCTTCTGGTGCCTCTGCTCCCTCCTCCGCTTTTTAACCTTCTTCACCTGTGCAGAGGCAGGAAGGCTCTTGGGGTCAGCACACCATAGCCCAAGGTTCTTCCCACCAGCCCAGCCAGGGATGGGGCCAGCGCCCACCTTGCCTCTGTCAAACTCCTCATCCCACTCATCGATGATGGTCTTCCCGCGCGCTGAGGCTGCAGACTGAACGGCATCCCAACTGACAGCCGAGACGCCACCATTCCAGGTCAAGACTGCAAAGCAGCGTTGGCAGCATGCAGCCCCAGGCCGTGCTAAACAGCTCCCACGAGCACAGGGCCAGGGTTGGAGCCCCTCACTCCAGGACCCCCCCTGGGTGCAGCAGCTCAGGCCCTGGCAGGGCTCAAGGCAGGGGAGCTGTGCTGATGCTCACCCGTCCAGGCAAGAAGGGATGAATTACCTTGTTTGCCGTAAGCTTTGTCCAAGGAATCCACAAGCAGCTGCTCCACCACTGTGGACTCCAGCTGGGTCGTTGGTGCTGTGCCAGCCCCACGGTCATGTGCAGGCCTTTGGGCCGCAGGGTAGTGCCTGTACCCAGCTCCAGCCTGGCTCTCTGCTGCCACTGTGGAAACAGGCAAGGTGAGCACAAGGCAGAGGCTCATCCTCCAAGGCAGATCTTGTGCCCCAAAAGGCACTGTCAGGAATATCAATGCTATGAGGGTGCAGGGGACTTGGGCATACTGGCGCCTGTCCTGGGCAGGGAGGAGCTGGGGGTAAATCTTTGCCCCTCCACCTGTCTGCAGAGGAGCCGATCCTCGTCCTGGATATCGTCAGGCTGCTCTGCTGCACAAGCAGCACGCTGGCCTGCAGGAGCCCAAGCAAGGGCAGGAGGTAGAAGGTGAGCACCACCAGGAAGCTAAATGGACCACAAGCATCAGAGACTGGAAAGCAGTGCCATCTGGGCAGACAAGCCGCCAGCTCCCCACTGCCCCGCACCGGGCTGGATGCACAGGGTCATACCTGCAGCACAGACGACTTTGGCAGCCGGCTCCTCCACGGCCTGACAGCTGGCACTTCCCCTGCACTTGTGCTTGCGGTGCCTGGGCGCATCAGCCTCTGGTCGCTGCTTCTTTGCCTTCCAGGGGTTCAGGGCAGCCCCGCTGCAGCTGGGGAGGGCAGCTGGGATCAGCTCTCTCCAGCCAGAGTTGAGCTGGCACTGTGGGGAGCTTCCCCACAGGCTAACAGGATGCAGGGACACCCACACCGCAGCGCTGCACTCGGGGAGAGGTGAAAGCACCCGCAGCAAGGCAGCACTCGGGCTGGCCCCAAGCGTGGGCTGTACCACCCGCAGGAAGACAAGCAGCACCCGCAACAAGCCAGGGAGCCTGACTCCAAGCAGAGCAGAGGGCGGCAAGGCTCACGTGGCAGCAGCCCCAAGCACAGCAATTACCTCTCCTCCATTCTCCTCCTCCCCTTCTTTTCCCTTCTTGCGGCAGAGGCGGGCTCCCAGTCCGGGTGGGCACAGGGGGATGACAGGAGCCAGCTCTCCAGGGCCTGTGAGCCCGGTGCCTCCCTGTCCCCGCTGGGACCTGCTGCTTCCGGCCCCTCTAGGGACTCCAAGGCCTCAGCAGTAAGAAGTCTCTTCTTCTTCTTGGGTGGGACAGAGACCTCCTCCTCGACTGCTGGAGCACGGAGGCTGCTGCCTGCCTTGGGCCGCCTCTTCTTTTGGAAGGAGCCAGTGGTGACCGGGCTGGGCTCCTCCCTGCTGCAGAGAGAAAGGTGGTGTGAGCGGTGCTCCTGGACCAGCACTGTCCAGGGGGGAGGCTGGGTGCTGAGGGGCTGGGCTGGGGATGGGGCAGTCCAGAGCAGGGGAGCCAGACGCCAAAATCACCCCCAAGCCAGCGCCGAGGCCAGAGTTGCCTGGAGGAGCCCCCCGAGGCCGCAGGTGGCCTGGCAGCGATGGGCACCGCTCACCTGCACGTGCCCGAAGGCAGCAGAGCCGAGCCGGGGCAGCTTCTCCTCGGTGGGAAGCTGGTGCCAGCGGCTGGCGCGCGAGGCCGCGCGTGGTGGGCACTCCTGCGCAGCTTCCTGCCCTGCGGGGACCGGCACAAATAAAGACTTGGTGAGCTGAAGGAAAGAGGTTTCCGTCAGCCAAGAGGGGAAAATCCAAAGGGGAGCCCAGGGAAAGGGGACGCCACAGGGGGAGGGGAGCGGGGGGGTGGAAGAGGAGTCAGAAGTGCTTTTAGGTGGGAGCACCAAGGAAAAAAGGAAGCGAGGAAGTTTCAAGACCAGAAGCCCCAGGGCACGGTGCTGATCCCTGGCTGCACCACTGTGCCCAGAGGGCAGCTCTGAGCCCTCCTGCTCCTGCTCGCCCCACGGAGGGCTGGCGAGGCTGCCCTGTGTCCTCAGCAAGGCAGGAGCCATCACTCCTGCAGCAGCTCTGCCCTCCCTGTGCAGCCGGGGCTGGGGCTCTCTCCACCCTCTCTGGCCAGGCACGATCCCCAGCCCTGGCTCTGCCCTTGCTGCCGGCACAAGCCCTGCTTCAGAAGGCACAAGGCACCTGCTGAAGGCCCCAGGCAGAAGCTCAGGCTCACCTTTCTGGCAGAGAGCGCCAGCCTCTTGGCCGGTGGTGGGGATGTGCTGCTGCTCTGCCCCACAGCAGCGCTGGCCGAGCAGGGGGATTTCACCTTCCTGCGCCTGGTGGTTGTGGGGGCAGGCGGCGCGGCACTGGGGACGTCGGTGCCACAGTCCGGCTCCCGAGAGGTGCTGGAGCTGCTGGTTCTGCTCCCGGCCTCCTGGGAAGCTCTGTCCAGCTTCCCCACTGCAGCAGGTGCTGGGCTGGCAGCACTGCTGCTCCCCGAGCCCTCCTCCGAGTCACAGGCTCTATGCCCAGTGCTCCGGGGCTGCTGGGTGAGGCCCAGCAGCACTGGGGATGTGGTCGGGGCAGGTGGCATCCTTTCCTCCCCGGAGCTCTGCTGGGGATGATGTGCTTCAGCTGAGCTTGCTCTGCCTGTGGTGCTGGAGCCCAGGGCTGACTTGGACCTGGGAGGCTCCGGGCTCTGGGCTGCGGCACGGGGCAGCGCTGTGCCCACACAGGCAGCTTTGAGGGCCGCTCCGGTTGGCAGCGATGTAACGGGCAGCTTCAGCGTGGCGGGGCCGTTCCACAGCTCTGGCCCCGTCCTCCATGTGCTGCGGTCCACGGGCACCCCGACCTCCGGCCCTGGCCCCCTCTTCCCTGGCTGCGCGCTGCGTGCCTGGACAACGAGAGAGGGAGAAGTTCAGGAAGGAGAGAGAGGAGCCAGGGGCACAAAGTGATCCTGCCCTCAGGGCCACAGAGGCACCCTCGGCTCAGCAGGATCCCCCCTGCAAACAGCCTGCTCCCTGCCCGGCTGCAGCAGAGCGGCCCAAGGGACAGCAGCTCCCAGCTCCCGTGAGCACTGCCCAAGAGCAGATTCAGGACTCAGCAGTGATGCGAACAGGGGCCTGTGGCTCACCATTTTCTTTGTCTCTTTGGAGACGGTGCCCTCCAAGCCAGTCAGCCTGGGGGCAGCTCTGGCAATGGGCCTGTCCAAGCTCTTCTCTGGGCCGGAGAGTCTGGAAGAGAAGGGCATGGGTTAACTGCAAGTGTTTGAGCAATTGGAAGGCTCTTGAACAGAGAGCTGCAGGCGCTCCCACCTCACATAGAAGAGCAGGTAGGCTTCCTGGTTGAGGACCACTTTGACATTGCTGCAGCGGACCATACTATCATTCATCTGATACCATTGCCCATTGCTCGCCTGCAGAAGGAGCAGAGAGAATGGGGTCGGGCTGTGTTCAGGGCCTCTCCTGGCCCGAAGACCAGACGGGAGCAGAGCCTGTACCCCCCATCCCTCCAGTGCTCACCACCATGCACATCTGCTGAGTGCTCTCCTTCCCACACCCCGCAGGGACCCAGCAGCTCCCAGCCCAGAGTGCCCTGGGCTCACCTTCACATAGCAGTAGTAGTGCCCCGCGTGGCAGCTGTAGCCAGAGTGCACCAGCACCGCATAGAGCCCATACATTACAGGATCCCCCTCGCTCTCTGACATGTATGGGCGGAGGTTGAGGAACTCGGGATATGTCACGACCTGCAGAGAAAGAGAGCATGCCTCAGGAGCCGGCACAGCAGAGGGGTTTCTTGCTAGAGCAGGAGCAGCTCCGCTGTGCTGCATGCCCACCCCCTGAGGGAGCAGGAGCTGCCCTCCCCAGGCAGAGGCCACCGTGCCGGAGGAGCCAGGACGAGCTCCTGGCGCGTGGCTGGCCAAGAGCGGCAGGACCGCCTCCCCCCCTGCTGCTGGGCCAGGAGACAGCCCCAGCTCCGCACTGCCGAGCACTCACCTTTGTGATTTTCTGTCCACCACAGAAGAATCGCTTCAGTGAGAGCGTGAGAACGTTGGAGGCTCGGTGGATGCTGAAGCGTTTTGTTGCCGACACTCTGCTGTTGCACCTGCACAGGAAGAGCTCTGTCATTCAAGCTGCTCCAGCACCCAGATGAATGCCAGCTCTGGCCAAGGGGCAAACCCCATGGAAAACGACCCCGCAGGCACCAGGCACCTGCCCACGGCCACATCTGCTGGCCCAGGTCCTCCTCACGAGAGGATGGAGCCGATCAGCAGCAGCTTTCACCACAGGCTTCCACGGCCTCACACTTCAGCAGGGAACAGGTCGAGAAGCCCTCCCGTGATGTGGGTTTCCACCTGCCTCCCACCGGTGCAGCTGCAGCCCCATTCCTGCCCACAGCCCCACACTCACCCTGCGCACAGGTAGGAGTTCTCCCCACCCAGCAGGTCTGGCTTAACAAACAGCTCCAGCGCCCCCCGTACGTCTCTGGCTTGCTGCAAGGATGGACGAGAGGTCAGCGCACGGGTGGCCCAGCCAAGCGACAGCCCCGCTCCCTGCCGAGATGCCGGCCCTAGGAGAGCAGGAGCATCAGGTCCCCAGCCCGCTGCAGTACCCAGATCTCCAGTGCCAGGTCCAGGAACGGGTCGTATGTGTCCGAGATGCTCTTGCATGCCAAACACTTCACTGCAAAGGAAAGAGCAATGAGCACACCCTGGCACACCAACCTGCACCCATCGCCACCCAGCACAACGAAGGAACTGCCTCCCCTCTCTGGGTTCGAGCTGTGGGGGGGGAGCACCAGGATGCACAGACTGGCACAGAGGAAGGCCGCCAATTCCACTGTGTGCTAGCACAGCAAGTGTTGCCAGGGGGTTCATTTCCTGGTGGCGATGAGCTGGGGATCCACAGCCGACAGCTCTTGCCGTCGCCACAGCCGGGCTCCTGACCCACAGGTCCCACGGGACTGACCAGCTGCAGCTCTGGATCACGTCCATGTGCGCAGTGATTGTCCCAAAGCATTTTCACTACAGGGCTCCCGGCAAAGCAGCAGCCCCGAATGACCTCAGGCCCAGGGCCTGGCACCGAGCGCTCACCACGGGATCGCAGGTAGCCGCCAAAGATCTGGTGGACCAATGTCGTCGCCTGGCTCTCGCAATCCAACCTAGAGACAGCAGCCGCGGGTCTCACACCGCTCCTGCACCATGGCCGCCACCCCGGTGTCCTCAGCACAAACTCCTGGCTGGAGCTCAGAGCTGGGCACTGCAGGGGCAATGCAGCCTCCCGGGGCAGGGCCCAGGAACACGAGTGCTGCCTGGGGAACCGACTGACCCCGCAGTCCCCTCCAGCAAGGCAGGGACCAGCGGAGGAGAGCAGGGACAGCCCATCAGAGAGAGGCCCCACGTACCTGGTGCAGCCACTCAGGCAGGACTGCTGCATAGCGTCGATAGTGTAACGCAGGAATTCGTGCGCATCCTCCTGCTGACCGAAGCGCATGTGCCCAGCGATCTCTGCAGGACAGGGAGGAATCAGCCCCGGCATGTGCTGTGAGACACAGACCCCACCTCCCTCGGTGGCCCCTGGGGTTGAGCCCCCTCAAACGGAAGCGGACGGCAGACTCGTGTCGGCCATGGGGGGACCCCACACACAGCCCATGAGGTCACCAGGTCCCTGCAGGCTCCGTGAGTTCTCCTGGCCTCCTCTCAAAGGTTCTGCTCACACATCACTCCCTGCTCTCCAGCACGGCTATGGGAGGGGAGGGGAGCACAGTGGAATCATTCTTACTTTTGAGGTCTCGGACGAAGGCCACCGGCTTTATCGCGTTGCCGCTGTTGGCAAAAGCCTGAGCCACGTGGTTCTGCATGATGCAGATCATGCAGAAAGTGCCTTGATCACCTGTGGCAGAGGAGAAGATGACAGGAGAGATCAAGGCAGTACAGGAGAAAGGGCATCACTTGCTGAACACAACTCAGTTTTCTCCCTGAGGTCTATGGTACAGTCCAGCTCTGAGGCATCTCGAGTACACAGGTACCAGCACCTGTCTGATGACGGGGCTGCAAGCCCTGCTGCTCTCTTTGCTGACAGCTCAGAGCGATGCCAATCACGTCACCTTTCAGAGCCACACATCAATACCATCTAATGCCTGTACACAGCCTTCTGCCCTCACGCAGGCTGGGGCTGTTTGGGACGTCCAGCTCAGCCCCCACAAAGCCAGCAGATCCCGCTGGAGCCATCTGAGCCCTGGCTACACCCACCATGGACACAAGTGTCCCCAAACGCTTGTTTGGATGCAAAGCTCAGGGATGCTGCTATGGCTGGGACAAAGGAACAGCATCTCCGTGGAGAAGTGGCAGGAGGGAGCAGAAGGTTCACCCTGACAGCCACATGGCCCTTGCCAGAGCCCCGCGGGCTGAGATACTGAGCCCAGCGCGGGGAGCAGGGACCTGCCAGCACAGCCGCCCGCCCAGCAGGGCCCCACTACTCACGGGTGCAGCGGTGCTCCCTGGAGAGCAGGTAGTTAGCGAGCGGCGGGGTGTACGTGAGGCACTGCACGGTGGAGTTAAGGAAACATGTGTTCCCGAGGTTACGCAGTCCTGCACCGATTCGGTACATCCTCTCCCACTCCATGGACAGGCGCTCCACAGGGAAGAGCACCTTCTGGGGTGCGGGGATCCCGTCCCCTGGGCCCATTGGAGCATCTCTGCTCTCTGTGGGATGAGGAATGGTGGCTGAGCTGTGCACTGCGGGCCGCGGTTGTGTCCACCCAGCCCCCGGGACTTACCCTGCTTGCCCTGCTGCTGCTGCTCAGGGCCGCACTGGGGTCCGGCAGCCTTGGCTGGGGAGTTCAGCCGCACGTACTTGCCGCGGAGCCTCTGCAGCTGCTCGGAGAAGCTCCGGCGGGCCGGTTCGAACTCGATCTTTTGCAGCAGCACCTTCTTGGCAGAGCCGGCCAGCAGCTGGGTCATGCTCCCGTTCCCGCTCACCTCCCGCCGGGCCCGCTTCATCATCTCCCGCAGCCTCTCCGTGACCGGCATAGTGAGGCCCTGTGGCTCCGGCTGCGGGGAGAGGCGGGCAGCTGACGGGGGACACCGCCCGGTTCCTTTCCCATCGCAGGACCGCGCTCTGCTGGCACAACAGGCCGCAGCCTGGCCTGACCCCGGCCGGCCCGACAAGGCGCGGCCTCGACCCCCGCGCACCCCGCGGGTCCCCCCCCCACTGCGGGCACGGGCACCGGCTGCGCCCCCTGCCCCGCTGCACTCACCGCGCGGGCCGCGCCGGACGCACGTGCCCTGCAGAGCCGGCGCCGCTCCCCCGGCAGCATGGCTGGGTCCGCGCCTGGCCTTTACCGGGGCGGAACCGGCGTCCGCCGCACCCAATGAGCGGTGCCCAACCCTTGGCTCCGCCCCGTCGATCACGCCGAAGCCTCGAAGCCCAATCAGAACCCCCCAGTTCCCGTAGCTCAAACGGCCGCATCCAATCCAGCTCCACGTCCTGCCCAGCGCCGAGCGAGCCGACTGGGCTGACTATGGACTGCGCCTGCGCCACGGATCCTGCGCTGGGGGCGGTGCTTCGCGGAGCTTGTGGCGTAGGTACTGTACGCCCTCCTCCCGGCCTGGCCACGCCCCCTCGCCCGCCGGGGCTGCTTCCGTCGGTGGCGTTTTCCGGTTAACCCCGACGGGGTCAACCCTCTGCCCGGTCCTCCCGTTCCCTCCCCTCTGAGGAGCGGCGGCGGGGCCCGGTGGGGCCCGAGCATCGGCAAGAGGTCGCAATGAGAGGGAGCACAGAGCCGGCGGCAGAACAAGTGGCGATATTAAACTGGGACAGACTAGCAGCAGCAATGGCACGTGTGATACAACCATAGAGCGCGCGGGCGGGACGAGGGGCCCTGGAGGTGGGGGTTTCTTTTCTTTTTAATGTTCCTCTTTAATACGTTGAAGTTGCCCAGACTGGTCCGGTGCGACATCTTAGACCTGGCAGGGATCTCAGCATGAAAACACCTCCCAGAGCTGCGGTGGGCGCATGTGACGGAGCCGTCTTGGACGGGCAGCCCCATGGCACACGGCAGCACCGCTGCAACACGGGAATGGCTCAGAGAAAGCAGGTGCAATGGGGGGTGCACCAGAGGAGGACGGGGATTCTTGCAGCTGCTTGTGGCCTATGCCCTGCCGGTACAAGGCTCCATCCTCACCACTGCGGATTGGGGAGCTCAAGTAGCCCGGGTGCTGCTGAAGGCTACGGCTCAGCCAACGCTGCACGAGGAGATGGGAAAGACTCTGCACATGGAGCCCCTGCCCTTGTGCCCTGCTGAGCCCTCCTGCCTGCACAGCTGCTGCGGCTAAGCCCATGCACTGGCAGCAGCTGCAGAATGGGCCACAGCAGCTCTGCCCCCACGCAGACGGCTGCGGTGGGAATGACCCCACCAAGACGCTGGGGGAGGTTGTGAACCCTGTGCCCACCTCCAGTTCCCCAGAGGAGAAGAGCATGGGGAGAGAGGCAGTGGGTCTGGTGTGTGTGACAGGGGGGTCCCTCCAGCCATGCGCACGTGCCACTCCAAGCATCTGCACAGGAGCCAGCCGGCCCCACAAAAGGCCTATAGCCCCTTACACACAGCCGGGGGTTCTGCCTGGAGGGCTGGACCCTTCCTGGATTCCAAAGGGAAGGATGGGCAGGGGTTGGGGAGGGGGACTGGGGGTCCCTGCTGATGGCAGGTGGCAGGGGACACTGCAGTAGGGGCCCTGCCTGGCGAGAGCCCCTGGTGCGGAGGCACTGGTAGACCTGCTACACAGACGGGGCAGCTCCCGCCACTCCCAAGGGCTCGGTTCCGTCACAGATGCCAGGGTGCCAGGGCTGAGCATGGCCTGGTGGGATTCAGCCCCCACTGTGGATTCCCCCCATGCCTTGCTCAGCCCTGCCACAGAGCAGGTCCCTGTCCCTGCCCCCATGCATGCCCATGGCAGCCACTGCAGCCCCAGGACCACCGTGGCCGAGTGGGTTTTCATGCTGTCTCCAGGGACTGATATCAGCATGGACCAGTCTAATATCTCGCAGGTTTTTTCTACTGGCTACTGGAATGCGCTTGTTTGGCTTTAGGGGTCCTCAATGTCAAGAAACTCTTGCTTGGGGGGTGCCATGCCGCGGTACCAGGCACATGAGCCGTCACTCCTCTTGATGCAAGCGTAGTGCTTCGCCTGCCGCCCATCCACGTTGTTCTTCTCCATCGCCCAGTCTGTCCAGAGACACTCGTCCGAGGAGGAGACGAAGCAGGGGATGGAGAGACAGCGCGAGATCTGTGCGGAACAGAGACCACCACTGACCACCCGAGGGGGGACACTAGGGTGGGACGGGACACGGGGAAGCAGCATGACTCCGCTTCACTCGCCCCCAGTTCTGGACCAGTGGTGCCATGCTGCCCCTTCCCTGCATGGCATGTTGGGGATGTGACCCTGATGTGCGAGGACTGAGGGAACCCCTGAGTGTGGGCCCCAGTTCCCAGCTGGAGAGAGCCAGAGACTGGAACGCCCTTCCTGTGTCCCCCAGCTCCCTGCACAGCATCATCCTTGAAGGACAGGGAGAGCCTCCTATGGCTGCGCCCCTGCCCAGCCCGGGGCAGCCCCGCTGCTCACCTTGCATTCGCAGCCCATCTGGTACCGCTGGTTTAGGCTCTTCTTCTGGGTTGGGCTCAGTGAGTCCCAGGTGGAGACCAAGTCACAGAGCGTGATGTGCATCTTGCCATTGCCCTCTGACTTGCCTGTGGAGAGGCCAGAGGCAGCTCAGTGTCCCCCCAGGCTCCCTGGTGCTGACTCAGGGTGCTGGAGCTTTGCCCGGCAGGGCTGGTGGTGGCAGCAGAAGGAAGGGGGGGCCTTGCACATGTCACGGGTGTCCCAGGAGGCCACAGGGCCACCACTGGCACCAGTTTCCCCCAGAGCCCTCCCTGCGGCCACCCACCTGCAATGAGATATTCCTTTTTCCCGCCGGTGTCCAGCAGCCGGCCGCACACGGCGGTGGATGGGGCCGTGTAGATGAACTCTATGTCCTTGTCAGGGCCCTTGAACATCTGCAGAGAAGGTGCAGGAGTGAATGGCTGCCATGGAGGCTGCCCTGTCCCCCCGCCTCCTGCCCCGGTGCGTCCCCTTACCTTGATCTGCTTGATCTCATACTGGATTCGCTTGATCGGATTCCCGTATATGTCATTCCCTGAATCCACCTCTTTGGCAGACACGGCCTTTGCTCGGATCACTGCAGTGGAGAAGTGCTGGGGTCAGCAGGGGTGGCCACAGCTCCCACTCTCGCAGCCAGCGCTGCTGCCCCCCCGCAGAGCTGCTGCCACGTGCTGTCCCCAGCCGGCCAGGGCTCTGGCACACAGGGGATGGTGCTGGGCGGCGCTGCAGCAGCACCCTCACAGTGGGTGATAAGGAAAGGTCACCCCAGTGTCATCCCGTCACCCTTGGCAGGTGCTGTCCCGAGCTCTGCTCAGCTGCTGCTGGACCCAAGGGTTCAGGCTGGCCCTGCCCGGGCTCACGCCTGTCACACAGACGGCACCAGGGCAGCTAAAGCCTGCCAGCAGTGTCCTGGAGCTCCACTGTATTTGTCCCACAGTCAGTAACTAAACCTGTCTCTGATGAGGGCCCCAGCCAAACGCCTGCATGGCCTGGCCAGACTGGAGCAGAAAAGGGCTGAGGGAGCTACTTGGAGAGTTACCTTTGGGTGTGGAGGGAGGTGGGAGCCACATCCCCAAGGCACCATCCTGGCTGTTTGCCATAGCCAGCACAGGCACCAGCACTGCCCAGGCAACTCTTCCCGGGGTCCCCACCCCAGCACAGAGGGGTCCCTGAGCCACCAAGGTGATGCTCTGGCTGCAGCTCCGTGCCAGCCCCGCACTGGGCAGGTGCAGGAACTGCATCCGCCAGTGCCACTTCCTGCCCTCGTCTGCCTACAGAGATAACCCAGGGACACTGAGAGCTGAGGCAGTGGGAAAATACAGCCCAGTGAGGGCAGGCAGCCAGGTCCCGGCCAAAGGCAAGAGCCCTCCTGGCTCTGTGTGGCCCAGGGGCAGTCCCAGTGCTCAGTGCCACCGGGCAAGGTCAAGTGCCCCAGAGGCAGTGAGGCCACGGCACCCTGGAGCCAGTCCCCACGGTCAGGCTGCCAGCACAGCCCAGGGATATGGGAACCTGCATGTGAGTGCTTGGCACGTGGCAGTGACCTGCAGGGCAGGCAGCAGCCAGCTCACCCTTACTCACCGGCTCGGGACGCAGCAGCTGGTTTGGTGCTGCATGTGGTGGCCTGGCCCCCTGCGCTGGGCCCTGTGGCTCCCAGCCCTGCCTGGCTCCTTCCACCAGTGTGGGAAGTGGGGCTCCCGGTGGCCCCAGGCAGCACCGGGCACACCGATGGTGCAGGGGACAGCGGCAGCCCCAGGGCCACAGCTCCTGCTCAGGGGCCCGGCTGCAGGGCTCCCTGCACTGCTGAGGGTTCCACCATCCCATGGGAGACATCTCCCCATCCCTCAGGCCACCCCAGCGCCCTGCCAGCCCTGCTCCATGCGCAGGTGGGGTAGCGAATGGGGAGCCACGCTTTGGCCGGGGCAGCAGCGCCGACCCATGATGTGTTCCCCACTCCATGGTGGGGGGGAGCAGCTGGGGACACGCAGGGTGCAGCACCAGCAGCACAGCACGGAGAGGGAACCTGACCGTGGTCTATAAATACCATGGGCACAGGGGAACGTGGATGGGCTATTTCAGCTAAAGGTCAGGAGGGCACAGCCCCACTTGGGCACTGTAAGTGCCAACTGAGCTCGCTGTGGAAAGGAGAAGGTGGCCACCAGCATGTGCAGGGGCCCAGAAGCCACCTCCTAAACCAGCCACTCTGGGTTAATGTGAGAACCGGCTCGGTGCGGGACGGGCAGACTCAGCGCCTGTGGGTACCGGTGCTGCACTGACGGCTTTGCCAGCCAAGCTCCCATCCCTGCGGATGGGCCTCGGGCACGCTGGCAATACCTCAGCCGAACGGGCAGCCCCTGCATCCCTGCCTGCAGCAGGGCACATCTCTGCCCCGGTCCCTGCCCCAGGCTGGAGCAGCTCCCCTCGGCACACACTGCCTGCCCCCAGACCTGCGCCTGCTCCTCTGCCTGCACCTCAGCCCTCACCCAGTGCCTGCCTCAGCCCCCGGTCCTCCACGGCTCCATGTCTGCGGCAGGACCCGGGTGCAATGGAGCCGGGAGGCCGCACAGCAACTCCAGCCCTGCTGCTCCCGGCGCGGGGAACGGTTACTGGTTCAGTGGGCTCCAGCCTGTTCCATTCACGTGCTGATGAATCATTTGACAAAAATGCAGCCCA